AGCGGAAATTTCGCAATTTAGGCGAATTCAAGTCACCGCTTCCTCTTTTTCACCTTATGATATACAAGAAATATATATTTCCAGATTCTGAGTATATTTATTTATTTTTTTTTACAATATTAATCTATTTTTTATCATTTTTCAGCGCAATTATCGTCTCTCGGTATCCAAGGATCTCAATTCCGGGCGCTCTGTCGTAACAACACGTTAGCGATAGCTAACGGTACTGCAGGAATCGACCAGGCCTGTCTGCTCGCTTATGTTGTTGATTCTGAGCTATTAGCTAGAAGGTAAGCATAATTATTGAGGTTTTTTGAAGGTTTTGAAACATTAAGAATAACGCTATTTTCGTTAGCCCCTGTCAATTTCGAATAGCACCATATTGTGTTAGTTCCTGACAATTTCGAATAGCACCATTTTTTCTTACCCCCTAACAATATGAAATAGCATCATCTTTTATTAGCCCCTGACAATTTCAAATAGCACCATCTTTTGTTAGCCCCTGACAACAAAATTGTAGATGGCTATTAATTTTTGACCTTTTAAATTCTAATTAAAGGACCAATTGTAATGATATTAGTGACAATTATTACTAATTACTGAAGTAAGAGATATTACTCCATTTCTATTATTTTTTAGAGTGTAGTTTTTTTTTACTTTTTTAATATCTATGAATATCATAATACAAACCCACGACAGCATTCCAATTCTCTTTAACGTTTAACCGTGGGTTTCTGAGACCAAAATCCCCGTTTAAAACATATTATCTCTGTTTTGTCAAAGATAACGACAGGGACGAATTTATTTTATAAAGATATTTTGATCTCAGAAACCGAAGGTTAAACGAGCATTTATAGGTTACATTTTCAACTAATCATTTTCCACAGATCGGATCCCTTACTAAACAGTCTGAGCGTCCTCTTAGACAATTTAGATCAATATTTTGGCTACAACGCAGCATCCGGCACACAACATATTAACTTAGAAATGTTCTCAGCATTCGATGGAATAAACGATTTACTTTTCAAAAATACAGCCGTCGGTTTATCCGAACCATCGACAGAAACCGCTAATGAACCAGCGAGGAACTACATAGAGTTGTTTAAACACTTAGATGCTTGTACCAGTGTTGCCCCACCGTCATTAGCAAAGGCTGCGCGTAACTACTCTATGATAACTCTATTCCTTTTGACAGCTCTTACGCGCGTTTTCATATTTTAAACTGTCAAAAGTTTTTGTACATTAAAATTATTATTTTAGTGTTTTTAAATAGTTTTAATAATGTTTAAGTTAATAAAATACATCGTAACAGTCGCGTAAGATTTCTTAAGATTTGTTTTTTTATTGAAATGAAATAAATATGATAAAATTCATTATAAGAACGTTTAAAATTTAGAAAGTTTTTAAGTTTTGCAGCATTTCGTGACATTTTATTATTTTTAACTATTGTATCAAGTTAATATCACGTAATTTATTACTAGTTTGTTAAATGTGTGCCAAATGTTTTTTTTTTAATTCCAGTGTGCGTGATTCTTTTTCAAATAAAATATATTCCTTTTGTATATGTTCTTTTAATAAAAAACAAGTGGCGATTAACAAGCAGAGAATTTTAGGTACGTATTAACACAATTTCGATTGATTGTTAAGTATACAGACATACAAATGTTAACAATATTAGGGTAGAGTTAAAAAAAATGAAAAAGCAATATCCAAACAATTTTTTATTAATACAATATTTATAAAATATTTCTTCCTAAATTAATTTGAGTTATAAATTAAAATAATGAGGTTTTATATTTCATATTTCTTATAAATCCATACATTTCTGCACAACATAGATTTCAATTGAACACCTCAATTCAACACTAATTTTCTAATTAATTTACAAACTTACAACCACACAAAGTTATCAATTGATCTCTAAGGGAAACCCTTAGTATCTAATTCTTATACTAATATTAAATATACCATAATGGAGACCACTTAACAACTCTGGGTGGCATTAAAATAGATATATAAACTAAAGATAGTGTTTGATTTAAGTTTGACGTCTAATTGAAGGTCTACCAAATATTTTGTGATACTGAGGTAATTTATCCCAACAAAAGGCCTCCGGAAGGCCTTTTTTTGTCTTATTTTTATGCTTCAAACTACCTATCTGTAGGTTATATATCTATGATTATTCATTTACTTATTTAGTTTCTATTTAATAATTTACAATTTAAACCTATATAAGTAAGCTAGTAATTTTTATCAACTGCTATAACTGATTAACATAAAAATTACGTCTAAAAGTGACATATAATTTCAAAAATAGTTAAATTTTTTATTATTAATCAATTTAAGCAAGGATAGATAATAATACTAATATTATAAATTTACAATTTAAGAGCTAAGCTATTTTTAAACTTAAAAATCCATACCATTCCAAACTTTACCAAGTTTATTTATTAGAGAAACTAAATTATAAATATTAAACATAACAAATAGTGTGATACTTACCGTGGGTTTCTGCAACCAAAAACTATATATAAAACATATTGTCATCACTATGATTATCTTTAACAAACAATGTTTTAAACCAAGATTTTAGCCTCAGAAACCTACAGTTATTAACCCTTAAGAGTGTTTCATATAAAATTGACAACTAATTTTATCAAGAGACTTACGCAATGTCATTTTGTAAAAACAAAACAACACTGAGAGAATTTTCACCAACTTTAAAGTCTCCAGAAACCCTTTTTTCGCTTCACTTTTGTGCTCCGTACTAGATATCTAGTATATTTATGGTATATTTTATAATTATAGGCAATCTGTAAATTAAAAATGATTTTCGCGCCATTTACCTTACTTTACCTTATTTCGAACCAAAGATTAAGCAAATTGACATTATTCTTTGCAAGTATTATTAAAAAAAAACAATAAAACCTTTTTATAAAAAAAATTCTTTTAAGTGACAATGACAGCTCATGTCAAATCCAATTGTGAAATTCGCAAATAATTACGTTTCCATTTTATGGAGCAATTCGCATTTATAATATTAGTAAGATAGGATTAATAATAAAAATGTCAGACAAAGAATGTTCTAGTACATCAACTTCTGAATCATCAAGTTCGTCATCATCTACGTCAGAAACGGACTGCACTGAAAAATCAGACACAGATACCGAATGTACAGACAAAGAGCCAGATTGTGCTGAAAAGAATTCTGAACCAGATTGCGCTCCGAAGAAAACTGAACCTGATTGCGCTGACAAAACCAACGCTAACACACAATCAAAGACAAAAACTGAATGGAAAGTCAAAATTCACATACCACCAGAAATTAAACGCAATACAAGAACACAGACTAACATAGAAAATAAGGCTGATTGTAATACAGAAAAGGAGACTATTACAATAAAAAAAGATACAAACGAAGCTACAAACGAAGCATGTACTCAAACTGAGGAAGTAGCGGTCGGTGAATCCGCTATATTATGTACAATTGAAGCTGAAACGGCAAATGATAAAATAGTAGCCTGTTATAATGTTAGTCAACATTGGGATGGCTGAAAACTAGAAACAATTGTAAGAGAAAGTCTGTAAAATGACGCGAGAATTGAATTGACATTTGATAATAAATATTTTCAGGATGTTTTTAAGATACATAGAAGATTATCAAAACAGGAAAACAAATAAGAAGTAATATGTATTTAGTAATTAACGCTATTAAAGTTTGCCAGCAAGAGGCGCCACTATCGCGGTTAGTTCTATCAGAAAATATTTAGAATTTCCCGTAATTTTCCGAGACCAAAATCCCTTATTTAAAATATATCTGTATTGTTAAAGACAGGAATGCTGGTTTACAGTCTCAGAAACATGACATCTACTTTAAGACAGCTTCTAGTTTGTTGACACATTTTGATATTGACATTAGGATGCTAGTGTGCTGTCATAATTTGACTTAGGTCCACCAGATTACGTTCCTGGTCTACAATTTTCTTTACCTATATGATTTTGACTAAATAGATTTAAGATTGACTATAAACATTGTAATTATTTATTTCTATTATAATTTAAAAATAAAATTCTATCAAATCAATATTTTATTAATCAAAGAAACAAATTTCTAACAACCTTTTGTTATAATATGATTACAATTGCGTTTTTCAGTTTAAAACTCCACATTATTAGTATTGTTGTCTCTGCCTTTTCAAAGACAACGTAAGGGACAGAAAAGTCTATGCAATATAAAAGTAAAATTTGAACAGAGTTGAAAAAAGATCCATAATACTTTGTTTTGTTATATTTGTCTTTAAACTATTTGTCACATATTCAAAATTGTATTAGAATTCATTATCAATGAAGTACCTTTGGATTTTCACTTATTAACTCAAACTACGTTAAATTTTACACCAATCATTAATATTAGAAATTCTTCATTTTCCAACAGAAACTGTATAAAACAAAGCTGTAAAATCGGTTTACGTTAATTGTAAATAACGTCATAAGAATAGTGGATGTAGAAGATAATTGCTACACAAGCCGAACGCCTGAGAACGATCTTGCCTTTCTATCACTTGTTCCATGCTCTCACGTGCACATTTGGCTGACGCGGAACTTTTTATATCATAGGGTGGTAAACGAGCAAGCCTGAAGTTACTGAAATAGCAGTGACCACTGACCATAGACATTTAAAATTGCAAATGCATTGTCTACAATCAACGGAAGGGATAGACATACTATTTTGATATATTCTCCCTCCTTATGTTATTCCACCACCGAATCCATTTTCCTTCCCATTATTTAGCTATACGAAAGTAAACGAAGACTAGTTAGTGTCTGCATCCGGTTTGTTGATTTATAAGACACTAGCTGTCTTTATTTTAAATTTTAATAAGTAGCCTATATGTTCTTCCACACTATGTTCGACATCTGTGCCAAATTTCAGCAAGATCCATGTAGCCGTTTTGAAGATATCTTCAAACAAACATCTATCCATACATCCAAACATTCGTATTTATAATATTAGTAAGACTAACATCAATATATGTAATTACAATAATTATAGATAAAATATATAAAAAATGTACTACTTTAGCTTATAAAATCCTTAAAATATACTATCATCTTTCCATTTAGTGAACACTTTAATTATATGAGATGTATCTTTTCGTCTGATAGGTCTATCTGACCTAATATCTAGCCTAAATACTTGACCTAGCTTAAAGTGGCCAATCACTGACCTCTACATATATAGACAAGGAATTTGCTTTTTCCGATGCCAATTGCTGACACTGTTTAATTAGTTTGAACCCTCACCACGATCAACCACTTTCAACAGCGAAAATCAATTAGGCATAAAAATATAACAGTTTATAAAGTCTAACTTGAATAAGCACGAGACTAAGGAACTTTAAGATTTTTCTCGTTTATAGCGGTTTCTTAAGTCCAAGTTTCTCGCTTATGGAGGTGGTGCACTGAAAAATGACTTGCTTATAGAGGTTCCTTTCTAACCTGGTATTCTTACTCGTGAAGGTTGTCTGTCAGGACAATGACTATCACTTATAGAGGTATCTTTCTAACCCGAGTTCCTAGGTTATAAAGCTGGTGAACTGGACAATGACTCTCGCTTATAGAGGTTTTTTACTTATCCAGATACATCTGTATATTGAATTACAATCAAAAGACAAACATTTAACACTAAAACTTGTAAATTCCTATATATTTCTTGTAAAAAAACTTTCTCTCGTAAATATTAACTAGTGTTTTACAATATTGCTTCATTTAATCTCACTATTTGTCAAAAATAATTGTAAAAATCATTTAATTCAAGATTTCATGAGTATAAACTATTATACGGCTAAAACACTCAAGTTAAAGACAGCAACATCCCCGGAAATAATTTCAGTCCCACTCACCCCGATGAAGGAGTTACCAAACTAAGTTGACACTGGACCTATACATGAGTGATTTAGCCATAAATATTAGTTTATAAAAATTATAATGACCGCTAAGTATAGAATTTAATTTCCCTTTACTTAATTAAGGTTATAACCCTTAAGTGTGCACTGTTGTATAAATTCCAAAAACCATAGATTAAAAATATTTAAATTATTTTTCCTTTATTATCATCACTCATTTATCACCATGAAATCATAATAGCCCGTCTATTAAATAAAGGTCAGTGATACTTTCCTGGATTTTTCTTTTAACAATCACTACACAAAACACTTTCACATTCACAACACTATTCACTGATGTAACGTATGGTGGGGGGTCAACACCGCCCCACCTGCAGGCAGCACCGAGGTGATAACAGGGGCTGCACCCCCTACACCACTCACACTGCCAACACCACCACCACAGAATATCACCTGAAATATAATCAAAATAGTCAATTTTAGATTACTTTAACAACTTAAGGGTTCGGAGACTACCCTAAGTTAGTAACTAAGTCATAGTCAATGGCCCAAGCAGTGACTGCACATATCTTTGAATTTCTTTACAGATATTTTGCATTAAGATGTTTTCCTTCACTGTAAATAGGATAAATGTACATATGTAGGTAAAAACACATTGATACATTGCTTCGAATCCACAACCTGCAGATTAAACATCAAGTTTCCTATGAAGTACTCCACCAAATCCAATTCCCATCCTTCTTAGAAGACTCAAGTGGTTAAGGAATGTGGACTTAAATTAGTTCTCCGTCACTCATCAGACTGTACTACTTCCGCCTACTTTGAAAGTAACTACTATCCTCGTGTGAAATTAGGTATACCTGTGAGACTGGTGTAGCTGGCTGACCGGGTGTAGCTAGCACATATTGCTGTTGTCTTACTCCGCCCACCTGGAAAATATAGATAAAAGAACAAATTATTATTATGTCTTATTCTTTTTGATTCTAATATAAAGAGGAAAGATTTGTTTGAATGTACTACAAAATTACTAAACAAAAGTTTAGATGAATGGATATTTGAAGATATCTTCGGAACAGCTGCATAGATGTCAATAAAATCTGGCATACATGTAGAACATAATCTGGAAGAACATCATCATCATCAGCTCACTATACGTCCCCACCGAGGGGCTCGGAGCCTACCCTAAGTTAAGGGCGATTAGGCCATAGTCAACCAGGCTGGCCAAGTGCGGGTTGGTTGACTTCACACATATCTTTGAATTTCTTCTCAGATATGTGCAGGTTGCATCACGATGTTTTCCTTCACCGTAAGAACGTCGGAAATGTACATATGTAAATAGGAAATAGAAAAACACATTGGTACATGCCACCGACGCTCCTGGAAGAACATATAGACTACTAATTAAGTATTTTTTAATTCCGCGCGGACAGTCACGGGCGACAGCTAATCTTACTAATATTATAAATGCCAATGTTTAAATGGATGTTTATTAGAAGGTATCTCCAGAACGGCTGAACAGATCTTGATTAAATTTGGTATACATATAGAACATAGTCTGGAAGAACACATAGGGTATTAATTATGTTTTTTTTTAACTCTGCGCGGGCGACAGCTAGTATTGTGTAAGTTATTCATATATTGTTATATAATACAGACCGCATGTATCTGTTGTGGTTGTATCGCCTGCCGATGACCTTCCTCCACCACTACCTGCTCCAGGAATGTGCCGCTGCTGCCTGCAATATTACAACAAAATCAATTATTCAAAACTGCATAAGTTAAAATCTATAAGCGAGAAACTCGGGTTAGAGAAACCTCTGTGAGCTACAGTCATTAGTGAGAAAAATTTGTCTGTCATCAGTCTGATGAGTGTGCATCCCGGAGGTCTCATTTAGTCCTCTTTCCCTTCCCACTCTTTTTCTTATTAGGAAAGGATGGGAAGTAGAAGTGGACTTTCCGGATGACAGGATGCATGAGAAGGGAAGATATTTTCTTTCTGTGCATCCTCTCTTCCGTCGATTAAAGGTAAGTAAGGCATATGCAATTGCGTATGTCTATGGGCAACGGTCATTTCGCTTTATCAGCGGTTTCAGGTGGCCGCTCGCTCGTTTGCCACCTTATGATATAAAAAAAAGGTGTTTGGAGATCGATTCTAGTACAGATGTAGTATAGTATGGTATCACTTACCCGTGGTGGCAGTTGCATTGGAGTTGGTGTCACAACCAAACAGACAGTACTGCACAGTCCAACGAGGCTCGAAAGGTATATGCGTTTTTACCTAGAAAATATAATAATATAATTAGAATATCTTATTTATATAAATGTGAATGTTTAGATGGATGTGTAAAGGTATCTCCGGAACTGCTCAACGGATTATAATGAAATTTGTCATACATGTAGAACATAGTCTGGAAGAACACATAGACTACTAATTAAGTTTAATTTTAATTCCTAATTATTTCAATATTACAAACAGACAGTCTACTTTTATTTATATGTTGTCATCAGCTCACTACAAGTCCCCACTAAGGGGCTCGGAGCCTTTTTTCTAAAACCCCTCAGGCCCTCCAACTCGCCATGTGGCTGAGTCACGGGAACACTTGCGCACCACATCCTCCGACCACGAGAGATGCAGGAGGGCAGGACAAACCAGTACCTTTCCCACATCTCTCTAGGGGCTCGGAGCCTACCCTAAGTTAATAACTAGGTCATATTCAACCACAATGGCCAAGTGCGGGTTGACTTCACACATATCTTCAAATTTCTTTGCAGATATGTGCATCAGGAAGTTTTTCTTTACCATAAGAATGTATAGCTAATATACCTTCAGCTCAGTGGTGAGCATCAGTATGTGTCGGCATGGCAGCCGGAATACTTTGCTGAAGAGACAAGAACATTCCTGTGTTGATGTGCCATACTTGCATATAGCAGCACTGCTGTGACGTCTGTAAAAAAAAATATATATATTGTTAGGAAGAAAATCCGACAATGTGCCGGTGTATCGCAACACTAGCCTTAATAAAATATATTTTATAAATATATATATTACAGTTTTTACAGGATTTTATGTATATATATAAAATCAAAAACATGAATACATAAATTTTTACAAACATTTTACGAATATTTTAAATGCGAATGTTTAGATGGATGTTAGAAGATATCTCCAGCAGAGTTAAACAAAATGCATTCGATGTGATTCCATAACGAACTACAAAAATGTATAGAACTGCAAACTTTGGATAAGTGATTTTGGAATCGCTTCGAAACTTATGCTCCCAAGGGGGCTAACAGGAACGGCTGCATGGATCTCAATCAAATTTGGTACACATATAGAACATAGTCTGGAAGAACACATAGACTACTTATTTTTTTTATTCCGCACAGACGGAAACATGGACAACATCTAGTGTATTATAAATATGCTTATATGATATTTTATTTCAGTCTACAACAAAACTTCGAAAATCTCTGAATTAGGTGCAGGGTTGGAATATAAAAGGCGATTGTGGCGCCCTCATCAACTATTTACCTAAGGTTATATACCTTGTTTTTTTTTTTTAAAGTATGTTAACAATAGCCTAATGGATAAGTGTACGCATTTCCGATAACGAAGTCGGGGATTCGAATCCCGACATTCGACTATTGTAAACCATATCCTAGCACAAGCATAGAGCTTAGTTGGAATGGTACAAGAAATATTAGTAAATTTACAAAAAAAAAATCTGCTAATAATTTATAAAAAAAGAAAAAAAATATGCATAAACCACTTCCGTGATTTGTAAGTATCATCATCAGCTCACTATACATCCCCACTGAAGGTCTCGGAGCCTACCCTAAGTTAAGGGTGACTAGGTCATCAACCATGCTGCCCAAGTGCGTGTTGACTTCACACATATCTTTGAATTTCTTCACATCTTCTTGACCAATATACAATTTTCAGATTTTTTTTTTATATTTACCTGCTAGTCCTGTCATCCAGACATCTTTGTGCTAGTTTTGTTTGATGACTCATCAAATTGTAAGCGTACTGTGTTATTGTATCTGTCGGTGATTGCTTCAAACTTTCCATTTCCTTAAAAAAAAACTTACTAATATTATAAATGCGAATGTTTAAATGTTTGTTAGGAGAATTCATTCCAGAACGACTCAACAAATCTTAATGAAATTTGACATACATATAGAACATAGTCTGGAAGAACACATCTTTCTTATATATAAAGGAAAGTCGTGTTAGTTACACTATTTATAACTCAAGAACGGCTTTACCGATATGCCTGAAAATTGGTGAAGAGGTAGCTTAGAGCCAGGAGACGGACATAGGATACTATTTACCCATTTTTTTTTCGAATTTATGCCTTGAAGAGCTTGTTTTTATTTAACTTACTAAAAGTATAAATGCAAATGTTTAGATGGATGTAATGTGGATGGATGGGTGTTTGAAGATATCTCTAGAACGGCTGAACGGATATCATTGAAATTTGTCATACATATAGAAGAAGTCTGGAAGCACACATAGACTTATGATTTGTTTTTAATTCCACGCGAACTTACCCTAAGTCTATTCAAAGCGAAGTTCCTCCTATCATCTTCAAGCTGGTTGGCTACATTGAAGAATAGAGAGACAAACTCATCCGGCTGTACCTGAGTACGTACCAGGTTCTGGAACTTAGATACCAGGCGTTCTAGACCCTGTAAATTTTAATACACCTTGTATTACATTATTGTTTGTTGTTTATCTAATTCTATCTTTCTTTTTAGACAATAAAGCGCAGGTACAGATTAGTCCACCCATGATTTGCTGCTTTTTTTGGCTTTTATATATGGTGGCCAACGAGCGAGCGGTCACCTGAAACCGCTGATAAAGCGAAGTGACCGTTACCCATAGACATACGCAATTGCATATGATAGACGGAGGAGAGGATGCATAGAAAGAAAATATTTTCCCTTCCCATGCATCCTCTCATCGGGAAAGTCCGCTTCCACTTCAGAAAGGAAAGAGGACTAAATTAGGCCTCCGGGACGCAAACTCATCAAAGGAAACACAGAATTGCTTCCACTTGACGCCTGTCTTCGCTTATTCTATATTCCTGTATTACCTTATGCAATATATTAGTGTAGTTCTCCGACTGCAGCCATTGATCAAACTTTGTGATAGCACCTGAACATTTTGTGACCGTCTCGAGTAGTCTCATCGAACCAGCTCCTGTCCCAATTATACTGCGCTTCAGTGTCTGGAATCAGTTTACATTGTTATGAAACATGTGTTATAACTAGATTATTGTCTTATTTCCTTTTCTTATAAAGGATTGGAAAGGGGATTAGGTTATGGTGATATATATGAGTCTATTGCCAGGTAGGCAATAGATTAATATTAATATAAACTAGCTGTCGTCCGCGACTCCGTCCGTATGGTATAAAAAGAAACGTAATTAGTAGCCTATATGTTCTTCCAGACTGTGTTCTACATCTATGTCAAATCTCAGCGAGATCCACTAAGCCGTTCTGGAGATACCTTCTAACAAACATTCATCTAAACATTCGCAGAACTAATGCGAAAGTTTAAATGAATATTTGTTTGAAGGTATCTCCGGAACAGCTGTATGAATCTTGCTGAAATTTGTCATACATATAGAACATAGTCTGGAAGAACACAGGTTACAGCTAACACAAAATTGTCCTACCTGCAGCTGCACCGGTGTGTGGTCTCCTCGTAACGTTGCGAGAGCATATGCTTTACAGCGGGATGCCAGATCCTCATGTGACAATGTACTCAACAGCACCGCAGTTCCATCTTCACGACGAGCAGTCTCCAGGATAAGCTTCGCAGCTGCACAAGATGCTTGCCATACCGAACAAGTGACATGAGCATTTGGGAACTCCGATCTTACTTCCTGAAAGGAACAAATAAATCTTACTTTTAGACATTAGTTAGAATCCTTTGTCGCGAATGACTTTCATTACAAAGTCAAGTGTCAGAATGATTAGTGAGGAGGACATAAACGTTGATATTTAAGTAAAGCTAGTGTTGCGCCAGTACACCGGCACACTGTCGGATTTTCTTCCTAACACTTATAATATCTATATATATAAAAGAAAGTGGTGTTAGTTACACTATTTATAACTCAAGAACGGCTTTAACGATATACTTGAAAATTGTTGAGGAGGTAGCTTAGAGCCAGGAGACGGACATAGGATACTATTTATTCATTTTTTTAAATTATTTTTTTCGAATTTATGCCTTGAAGTGCTTCTTTTTATTTAATTTTCTTATGGATATTTTCTAACGAGCCAATGTATCGAAAAAAGCATGGAGAAGATTTGTTGTATGGATCCTTATGACACACAGGGTAAGTACGAGGTTCATTCTATGACACTTGGTATATCAAAATCAAGCCGTGTAGGTATTAAATGTGGGTAGATTGATAACTCACCTCCTGTGATTTAGTAGGGTCACAAACCACACAACGAACTTGTCTCCATGCTGGATTACAAGATTTGAATGTTTCCAATAACCATCTCAAATCTTCACCTATTAATGTTGAAATGCCTGGAAATATAGAAATTTTATTTTTTATATTATAAGATGGCAAACGAGCGAGCGGCCACCTGAAATCGCTGAAATAGCGAAGTGACCGTTGCCCATAGACATACGCAATGCATATGCGTTGCCTACCTTTAATCGACGGAGGAGAGGATGCACAGAAAGAAAATATCCTCTCATCCGGAAAGTTCACGTCCACTTCCCATCGAACGGATGGGAAGTGGATTCCACTTTAATACGATTTTACATTTACTGTCAAAAGCAAGTATCTATACTAATATTATAAAGCGGAAGAGTTTGTTTCAGGAACTACTGGTCCGTTTTGAATTTTTTTTTTTGGTGGATAGTCCATTTATAGAGGAAGGATTTAGGCCTTTTTTTTATTCCACGCGGACGCAGTCGAAGACGACAGCTAGTAAAAGTATAAAGATACTAGCGGACCCGACAGACGTTGTCTGACAATTTGACACTGCGATGGTAGCGCCGTCTGTCGGATCCAATGTAAAACATTCCAAAATCAACAACTACTAAGAAATTAAAAATTAATTAAAAAAACATTGTGCAGCGGACAAAATTGTGAATCTAAACAATTCCCAGATCCACTTGAACACACACAAAAAATTTCATCAAAATCGCTCCAGTCGTTTGAGAGAAGTTCAGTGACATACACACTCACAGAACAATTATATATATATAAAGATCACACACATACCTGCACTAACAATAACAGACTTTCCATTACCATCTTCGGCAAGAAATAATGTTACATTATGTTTGATACTTGAATTATTTGATCCAGTTACAGATGATATACTACTATTGAACTCTATACCTGTTGATATAAAGTTTAAAATACAACATAAAGACAATTTGCGCGAACGAGCGTCGGTGACTCAGTGGTCAAGCACTTGACTTGCAATCTGCAGGTCCTGGGTCCGAATCCCGCCATGTACCAATGTGTTTTTCCATTTCCTATTTACATATGTACATTTATCTGATGTTACGGTGAAGGAAAACATCGTGATGCTGCACATATCTGAGAAGCATTTCAAAGATATGTGTGAAGTCATTGCACTTGGCCTGTGTGGTTGACTATGGCCTAATCACCCTTAACTTAGGGTAGGCTCCAAGCCCCTCGGTGAGGACATATAGTGAGCTGATGATGATGATAAAGACAATTTAGTTTAGTATTTAGGATTATAAGCTAAAAAGTAATGAGATTGAATGGTTACAAAGGTAGAGGAAGACCAAAGAAAGTATGGATTGAGTGAAAGAGGCAATAAGTATAGGAAAGGGGTGGATTCAGATATGATGGCTGATATCATCATCAGCTTACTATACGTCCCCACCGAGGGGCTCGGAGCCTATCCTAGGTTGGTAAATAATAAACATATATATCTTACTAATATTATAAATGCGAATGTTTAGATGGATGGATGTTTGTTAGAAGGTATCTCGGGAACAGCTCTATGGATTTTGATAAAATTTGACATACATATAGAACATAGTCTGAAGGAACACACAGGCTACTAATTATGTCTTTTTTTAATTCATTGTGGATGGAGTCGTGGGCTACAGCTATCTATCTAGCTATCTATATCTTACTAATATTATAAATGCGAATATTTAGATGGATGGATGATAGAATGTATTTCCAAAACTACTAAACAGATTTTGCTGAAATTTGTCATACATATAGAACATAGTCTGGAAGAACACATAGGCTACTAATTTTTTTCCCTTTAGGTTTGAGACCTTGGAAGTCTATCTCTGACTACCCCAATTATGTGATTTACTCACCAGTTTCAATACAGAGGAACTGTGGTACAGCGTTAAACGCAAGTTGCATACTCGGAGTTGTAAAGTACACGCATTGTATGCAACCTGACTCGGAGTACATTAACTTAACACCAGCATCTGGAACATAATAATTATTGTCAGACAACCGGAGACCACTCGTAGGTTTGTTTATAAAACAAGAAGATTGCTCAATCTTCTCCATTTAAAGACAATAAAAATGAGTATAATAAACAGCCAAAGTCTCTTACAGCAGCAGCAATAAGAGGGCGACCAAAAATGTACATTTCATATATATTATTAATATTATAAATGCAATTTAGATGGATGGATGTTTGAAGGTATCTCCAGAACGGCTTAGGAAATATCTATAAAATTTGACATAGATGTAGAACATAGTCTGGAAGAACACATAGGCTACTAATTAAGTTTTTTTAATACTGCGCGAACAGAGCTGTTGCCGACAACTATAATAACATTACTTTAAACTATCTGTTGGCCACAATTCTGTCTACACGGAATTACCTTCTAACAAACATCCATCCATACATTTTTTGTATTCGTATTTATAATATTAATATATTAAGAACATTTTGAGGTGTAATAAATAAATTCATACCATAATTCAACTGTAGTTTCCTTACAACAAAATCATATTTCTGATTAAGCCAACGCACTGCTCCAGGACCTGTTGCTACTAATTGAGCCTCCGTTGTGATAATTTGATTGTCTGTAGATCTGTAAATATCAAATAAATTGTCAAATTACATTACAAAGTGACATAGTTCATCATCATCAGCTCACTATACATCCCCACTAAGGAGAGTCAACCCTAAGTAACTAGGTCATAGTCAATACTGGTCCAGTGACTACACATCTTTGAATTTCTTCTCAGATATGTGCATCAAAATGTTTACCTTCACCATAACATTGGATAAATATTACATATGTACATATGTAAATGGTTAAACACATTGGTACATGGCGGGATTCAAACCCAAGATGTGCAGATAAATCAAGTGCTTAACCCTTGAGTCACTGATATCTTAAGTATAATAGTTACAGATTTAGTATTCTCTAGTCTATCTATGAGTTTAAAATGTCTATAAAACAAAAAATGGAACTTCAACATAGTAAATGTTATTTAGATGTAAGAGAGGATGGAAGGGGAAGTAGATTTAGTAAGGGGATGTACAGAGGAAGTATCCTTTTTACATCCCTCCTTCACAAATTAAAGGAAGGCCATGCACCCAAAATACTTTATTTGGTTTCCAATGTCTATGGGCAGCAGTCACTACTACTTATTCCTAATTTCAAACTGAGAAAAAAATAATCACAATCACCTTTCAGCTCCGTCTCCTGGATTTTCAATGATAGCCACCTCATACTCCTGACCCTCAACTTGCGAGTTGGAACTCAATTCAAACTGTTGAAATGTTGCTGTCTGTTCTTCCACTGGTTGCTGTGAAATTATTGATTTAAAGTTAATATCGTCAAAACTAGATAAAGAAGAATCCAAGTTTTCACTGAGGTCTGTTGAAACTGGATGACTCCATTATAGAGGTTCTTAACTTATCTAGGGTCGACTGTACTATAGAAACCACTTAACTTGACAACTATATTGGGACTTAATATCACGACTGCCCAGAGACAAGATAAAGACAGGACGGTATGGAAGCAGCTGGTCGACGCATCCATAAAGGCATATCGAGACGAGCATGACCGTCAGTAATGAAGTATGCAAAGAAGAATTTGACAACATAACATACTAATTAACGTTTTCTTCAAATTATCAAGTAACTATAAAAAGTACTTACGTTAGTAACTTCACTTGTATTTTGAACAAAAGTCGCGGTTTCCTCATCCGGTTCACCTTTAACATCGTAAATTGTTTCTGCCATCACTATCCTGCCAGAAGAGTCCATTGTCCACATTCCGCCAAATGCAAAATTAGCCGGAGTCCCATTTGTCTGTTCGTATAATATGACCGTGTTGGGGCCTATCTGCACAGGCTCACCTTTCATATTCACAAATACTGACTGCTCGAAGTTTCCCTCCACTATCTGACCCGTGTGAACGATCTGCTGATTCTGCTCCACGGGAACCTCAACAACCTGATTAACTACCTCAACTTTATCCTTTTCTTCCTCGACTTTTCGAGTAATCATGATTTTTTTCTTTTCATTCTCATTAGAATCGTCAGCTTTCCGCTTTATAACAGTTTTCTTCTTGTTTTTCTTATCCATTTTGTAATAGTAAAGGGTTATATGTTATTATAAGGCGTTTAAACTTATACAATAATTTTCCAGGGCTGAAATATATTGCCGCTAGAACTGCCTCGCCCGACACAAAACATTGTCTTAACAAGCAAGCATAAATCCACTTTAATTCAGAAAAACTTAACAATTCGACAGTATGCACATTAACATTCCAATGTAAACACAAAGTTATGTTTTGATAATATAAAATTGAGAAAATATCGTGCGAAAAGGACAACTCACGAAGACGCCATTTCTAATCGCGAAATAAAACATTCGTAAAACTTTTTGTCTCTCTTTTTTGTATGACGTCATCTCTTTCACACACTGTTCAAAATTTGTACGTTTGAAAACAAATTTTCTAAATTGATAAATTTAGCTTTTATAAAAATTAAATAAAAATATATAAAATTTTTAAAAATTTACTTTAATAATAACTTCCAAAAATCACCAATGTAATATTCTACATCGCGGCTATAATTATAATCTAAGCAATTTCAACAAAAATCATCTGTCAATGTTAAAATGTTATGTCATTGTAACAATGTCCGTAATCTGATTTTTCAGGAAAAACGTCTTTTCAGTTTACGTTAGAAACTTACAAATACTTAATTCATGCTTATTTTAAATACATTAACTATTTTAATTCAAGTAGTGTTTGTAGTGTTTATGTCCTTAGTGTCTATGAATATAATACGATATTTTACAAGCTACAGAACTATGACTGCTTTAGCGCCAGCAATTTTCGTGAATCACGGTGGTGGTCCGATGCCACTTCTTGGAGACAAAGAACACGAAGGTTTGACTATATTTTTGAGAGACGAAATTAAGAAGCATTTAAATTTAAAACAGATAAAAGGGATAATATTAGTTACCGCGCATTGGGAAGAAAGCAAAGTGACCATATCCTCTGGTAAACATCACGATTTGTACTTTGACTACTACGGTTTTCCTCCCGAATCGTATAAATACAAATACGACGCACCTGGAAATCCAGAACTGGCTGGTAAATTAAAAAAAACATTAGACAATGCTGGCATAGAGTCTAAACTAGATCCAAAAAGAGGTTGGGACCACGGAGTATTTGTTCCGATGATGTTGATCAATCCAGCGGCCGACATACCTATAATTCAAGTATCTGTTTTAAATAATCAAGACCCTGAAGAACATTACAAGCTGGGGAAAGCTTTATATGAATTTCGGAAAGAGGGAATTGCAATTTTAGGTTCAGGAATGTCATATCACAATATGCGAGAATTTAGAAATAGTCGAAATAAGAAACAAGTTGTTAATAAAGAGTTTGATGACTTTTTAAATGAAGTCTGTACAGCCGAGAATGAAGATAAAAGAAGGACTGGTCTTATATCTTGGAGGTCACAACCAGGAGCTGATGAAGCTCATCCACCTAGAGCTGCTGAACATTTCATGCCGTTAATTGTTATAGCTGGTGCAGGAGGCTCTGCACCTGGTCAGAGGATCTTTAACTGGGATATGGGTGGTACTTTTCGTTTAAGTGGTTTCATCTGGAAGGGATTATAATGAGACTAATAGTTGATTTCCGAGACTGTAATCTTAGTATAAAACATATTGTTATCTCTGTTTTATCAAAGATAATGAGGGATGACATTATGTTTTTTTATGTGGATTTTGGTCTTGGAAACGACAAATGTAATTTTATAGGTTATAAGGATAAATGGGATTTAGATTATTTCAAAAAAAGTTTTTTTTTATTGGTAAACCATACATAGGGCATTTTCATTGAACTCCAGAATTACAGTTATGGTTGATTAAAATTTAGTTAACATGCAACAATTTTTGTTTTTTAATTTAATGGAATTTTATCATAATTTATTTTAATACAGATTATAGTGTACAATGTCATAGATAAAATAAAAAAAAAAAGTTTATAAAATGATAAATTTTTTATGATGAAAATAACTAATACTTAGGTTAATAACCTTGATAATACTGCATAGATGCCTTATTGTACATAATTATGTTAATAAATTCTAAAATAACCACAAAGGGACCAATTATGAATAATGCTAAGATGAACTAGTGACCTGCTTTTAATGTGCACGCAATTTTTTAATTTACATGTCTAAAACAAAGAGATTCATTGAAATACAGAGTGGATATCAGAAATATTTACTTAAAAACACTTCATTAAATAAATATCGTGTTGAACTAGACTTATGCTGGGGAATAACACAAAAACCAATAGAAACATCTTTTAAATGTATCTGTACGAAAAAAAGTCACAACAGTCAAGTATTTTTTCTTGCAAAGAATTGAAAGATTGCCTCAAGTGATTGTACCAAATTGCAACAACTTGTGGATTTAAGGTTAGTTGCTATTTACATTGTCTATTGGATTCAAATAAAATGGCGTAATATTATTGAAAATGTTATATAATTTATAAAATAAATATACATATATTTTGTTACAAAATTGTGTTTCATTTTTACACACTTATCCCCTTCATAATGAACAACTAGTACTAATGTGACTGGACAAACCCGCAATGGGTTTATAGACACTTTTACTGTATATTGTTACTTGTTTATATAAATATAAAAAACTATTTTTTTTTGTTGCGTAGACATACTATGAAATGATTGGTTTCTTGAACCCTTGCTGTTATTTTCTTAAACTTGTGATCTCAAACTTCATTTCCCGCCATTATAAAATTCAATTCTTTCTATAAAAGTGTGTCCTGTCCAACGATAGGAACCAAAGACTATAATTTTTACCATTTAAATCTCTACAATTTCCCGCCAATCCAGCTAAAGGATACATTCGAGTTACCGCATGAATCATCATTAGAATGTTCTAGAAATTCAACAATAACATCTTCCATTAAAAAACTAGAAACATATAACTCCAGATCACAACTTTAAGTTTTCTATTAAACTTTTACTTGCTTTGGACTTTTGGCCAAAGCGGCTTTTTTTACTCTTTCACAATCTGTTTTTAATTTAATCTTTACTTCTTAACTTATCTGTGGAAATATTAACTTTGTATCGATTTTGACATTGTCATTTTATTTCAATAAATATAAACAATTTCTGTGTTGTTGTTATAGTAATAATACTAAAATATGGATGAAATTAATCTAAACACCGACGAGGAAAACAGCAAAAGTAGTGGCAGTAAGCGTAAATGTGTAGATCCCCTTGAAATCGATAAAGAGAAGATAACTAAGATGGAGGTTGGAGAAACGAGCAAAATCGATAATGATTCAGAATCTAATGAACGCCAGCTAAAATTAATTGTAAAAAAGATGGACAATATAGAAATGGATACGGACAACTCAAATGATGATGCATCGTACAATTCTACAGACGAAGAATCTGATACGAACTCCGATTATTCTGAAGACAGTGATTCAAGCGTAGAACGCAATAATGGAAATAGTAATGTAAGTTTTATATTATTTCCGTTTTCACAAAAATATTTATTAGAAAAATATCAATTAATGAGAATAAAAGCATGTAATCGACCAATGGCCGCCTCGATCGATAAAGTACCACAACGACGCAGAAGATAGGCGGAAGTAATTCCGTGTGTATACGTAAAGTGATTCAGTCTTTTCCCTATTTTTCTAATAAGGATATGTATACTATAAAAAAAGTTAATTCTCTTAATAGTATCTTATATCTTTAATTTAGCAATTCTTGTATATATATAATTGGAATCTCAGAATCGGCTCCAAGGATTTTCATAAAATTTAGTATATAGGTGGTTTCGGGGGCGATCTAGCTAGGAATCATTTTTAGAAAATATCATTTTATTCGTGTTTTATCGATAATCAACTTAAACATAAACTTGGAAGAAAAATAACAAAAAGGAGGCGTTTGAGTCGTCTCAAATAAATTATATTATTCATATTTCATCATTTTATTAGTAATTCGTACTTAAATATAATTTCCAAAAAACTCAATTAAAAAAAAAATACCGAGCAAAGCTCGGTCATCCAGGTACTTATATTTGAATCTACCTTTTTAAATATACAGAGTGTCCAGAAATTACATGTACAATGAAGTACCAGAGATTCCTTGGTCCAAAATATGATGATTTAGCAAAACTTACCTTTAACTAAAGTTGCTTTGTTTAGCCATATGAGGTCTTTAAAGTTATTTTATGAAAAAATATGGTTTTTACTTAATAAACTACACCTTTTTGCAACACAAACCTTTGTTATAAAACCTACAGGATCTAAAGCTGGCCAAATCAAAATATCCGAGAATGAAAATCTTGTAAATTAAACTTTTTATCAAACAAAAAGAAGTTGGCATCTATATACAGGCTGTTCACAATTTTATTACAAAAAGTATGAAATCAAAACCGTGTTTTCAATATTAATAAAATCTATGTAAGACCTTTTGAGATATTTAAATTAATGTTAAATAATTTACAAACTTTAAAGCCCAAAAACGGCCTTTGAATAGAGGTAAGTTGGGTTAAATCGTCATATTTTCGATCCAGGAATCCGTGGTAATCCATTGTAAACATCATTACCAAACACCCTGTATATACCAAACAAGGATAAGTAAGAATTATATTGTGGTCTCTTGAACTCTCACTTTTAAAGGTTTGAAATCTTAATCTATTATATCTTAATCTTATATCTTTAAATGATCAATTCTTGTATATATATATAATTGGAATCTCGGAATCAGCTCCAACGATTTTCATAAAATTTAGTATATAGGGGGTTTCGGGGGCGATAGATCTACCTAGCTAGAAATCATTTTTAGAAAATGTCATTTTATTCGTGTTTTATCAATTATCAACTTTAACATAAACTTAACTTTTTCTTTAGGTAAGATCGAAAAATATTATTCATATTTCATCATTTTATTAGTGATTCATACTTAAATATAAGTTCCAAAAAACAATAAAAAATAAATCGGTCATCCAGATTTTATATATTAATCTTAAACAATCTCTGTGTTTATGGATAAATCTTAACCCTTAAATGGACAATGTTGTTTTTAAACAACATACTAAACATCACAGATAAAATTATCTTTATTTTATTTTTTTGTTAATTTTGACAACTAGTTCTTATTTCTAAAAAAAATAGTAAATTCATGTCTAGATTTTTTTACTCATTTTTCCTAGACAGTAATACATGTCTATTACACAAATATATTTTTTTAAAACGTAAAAAAAAAATCGTCCATTTAAGGGTTAAGTAAAAAATATGAATTCTTAATATTCTTTCATTTTCTAGCAACCTCAACCTCAACCTGGTCATTCAAGATCTATGGACCAATTGGATGAAGTACAAGCCACTATAAATGGTCTGCCATGGAAGAGTGCCCGAAATGTAAGTGTATTTTAACGATTTTATCATTACCATGGGTTTCTGAGACAACAATCCCTATTTAACACATGTTGTCTATTTTTTGACAAGAATAATGACATGTTTTATACAGATTTCGGTCTCGGAAACCAACTGTTGGACACAATATTAACAAATAACTAATTAGTCACTTTATTTAGAATTAACTGTCGCCTGAAAAAAAAACATAGTAGCGTATGTGTTCTTCCAGATTATTATCTACATCTGTGCGAAATTTCATCAAGATCTGTTGGCCTGTTTCGGAGATACCTTCAAACAAACATCTTTCTAGTCATGCAAATGTTCACATTTATAATATTAGTAAGAAATATGATATAAATTATGCTATAGTTTGCACAATATTGACAAATTTTTGACACTATAGTTGCTATTTATCATTTTCTGCTATTTTCGTACCAAATTTGCACTTTTCTACGGTAGAAATTGTGACAGTTGACATACACACTTCACTTTTGATACAAGCTAACCTTAAACCTAACAGTAGTCCAAAATTGAGTTGCTATAGTTACAGTTAAATATGACGTCAATTTGACGATTGTTAAAATGGTGCAACGAATTTTTGCGCAACCGTAGATTTAACTGATGTCAAGGCGCTGGTTAAAGTTATAGTTAGTTGATGCGACCAAACCTTAAACGTCAAAACAAAACTCCCGAGTATCGCGTTGCGCGCTCACACAAAATTTGACATGTGACATGTCAACTGTCTGTCATATTCAAAATTGCAGCGACTTGTCACGACGTTCTTGACAAAGAGCGGGATTAGACAAAGTGCATTCGCTACGAAGCGATTCCGATCCGTAGTAGCTTTCGATAAATCAAATTACTGTCGAGCATACAATTTTGAAGTTTGTTATGGAATCCCGTCGAAGCGAATGTATTCAGTCTAATCTTCCAGGTTAGGAATGGCTGTCTTTGGTGATGATTGCTTAGCGACTGAAATCGCCGGATTGTCTTGTCTACGAACGGACTTACTCTTTGTCGAAACTTGTGTATAATGGCGGGAAACACCAGGAATGACGAACTAATATCTATTTATGGAAATAAGGAGTTTTTTTTACAGAAGCGCACTTCTACACCATACAGACATAAATTGAGCGTTGAAAGCTGCGAAAAGATTGTTGGCTTGCACAAAATCATTAAAAAGATGTACTTCCAAGATAAACCGGAAGAAAGTTATACAAAAACAGCATCAATGGTAGGTCTTAGTGAAGATCGTGTAAAGAAAATATTAAATAAATATGGCGGCGAGAATAATCCTATATCAATTAAACAGAAGGAAATGTATCAACTCGATGAAGACATGAAGACTGCTATAAGAAAAAAGATATACGATTTCTATTTGAGAGGTGAACCAGCTTACAAAGATAAAGTTTTCAAAGATATTAACGACGATCCAATGTTGCCATATTTCAAAATGAGGTTATTCGATAGGATGTTGAATCATTTTAAAATGTTCACACTTAATAAGCGTGCGAACTATGCCTTGATCGATCGAATGAGAATTTCGGTAAACAGGATTGAATATTTACAAAAGTTAAAGGAATTAAGAGCACAAAAACGTTGTTTTTATTATTTGGATGAATTGTTTTTACCAGCAGGTTGGTACTTTTTATGTTAACTACAAAATTGTCTATTCCCCATAAGTTTTTTTTAAATAAAAATATTAGCTGTCGCCTGTGATACAGTTCGCGTGGAATTAAACAACTTAATTGGACTGTGTGTTCTTCCATGTTTTTTCATGCCAAATTTCTACCTTCAAACAAAGATCCATCCATCCATTTTAACATTCGCATTTACAATATTAGTAAGATTAGTTGATAATTTACTATTATTTCTTGTACCATTCTGATTAAGCTCTATATTTGTGCTGAAATGGTTTACAATAGTCGAATGACGGGATTCGAACCATCGACCTCATGATCGGAAATCCGTACCCTTAACCATTAGGCTATTGACGCTTCGTGGTGTTATAACAATAAGTTTTTAGTTATGAGGCAGATTACACACAAGCCTTAACAAGAAAGACACTCCGATGATTGATGCTTTTTTTGTCATTGTAAGGGGGCGCTACTGAGCTTTTTTAATTTAGTTTTACTATATTCACTAGGCCAGATAAGTTTTAAAGGTTCCCCATTTAGTTAAACTCATATATTGTTAGAAAGAAAATCAGTAAATGTGGCAGTGTATTGACCCAACTAGCCTCATTAAAATATCAACGTTTATGTCCCCTCACTAATCATTCCGACACTTTACTTTGTAATGAAAGCACGTCGTTCGCGCCAAATTCTAATTAATAATGTGTAAAAATCTTAAAATTAATCTTTTTTCAGAAAATACTGATGACAAAAACCAACCATCTACAAGTGCAAAAAAAAAACCCACGCAAAAATATATGGTCATTGCCCACATCGGTAATGAGAATGGCTTTATCGATGATGGCCTTGGAGTTTTTCATGTTGATATCGAACCTTCGAGCAGAAATAAAATAGAAACAAATCAATTCGAGGAATGGTTCGAAAAAATCTTACCAAAACTTGAGAAAAATTCAGTCATCCTAATGGATAGTGCACCATACCATATAAGGAAACCAGACATAATTCCGAATTGGCAATGGTCAACGAAAGACATTGAAAGTTGGTTTAGTACTAGTGGGCTTGAATACTACGAAAATAGCTCGAAAGTTTTACTATTACATACAATCAAAGAAGCTAAAATCGAACAACCACCGTTCATAATCGACACGATGGCAATGAAATACAACATTGAAATAATAAGAACACCGCAATTTCATTACGACTTAAATCCTATAAATGTTATATGGGCAGAGATCAAAAAAATTGTGGCGAAAAGAACATTGAATATTGAACATTTAAGAGAAATTGTCGATAGTGTGATTTGTGATAAATCAAGTATAGAAAAATGGCGTACGTCTATACAGTACGTTCTTGATTTAGAAGAGAATTACTATGGCAAACTCGATGGAGCAATGGATGATGTTGTAGACAGTAATCTCGATGAGAGTGAGGAAGCTGACGGTCCGAATGAATATCCGGCTGAGAATCAAGCTATCTACCTCTACAGCGGATCAGATGACTGTATTTGGGAGAACGTAATAACGGATTTGTCAGAAATAGGTACGGATACGGACTCAAGTTACGTATATTATGACAAATCAATATTTAATTACGTATTTATCAGTCCAGCGTCCCGTAAAAGTTCTTAAATCTAGCTTTTAAAATAATCCGGTTCGAAGGACCATATTAAAATTCGTAGAAATGTCTTCGAATTTGATGCTTTTTTAATGCTTATAAACGCAGATATAACCAAAGATATGTAAAATTACTTTATGTTGCATATACGTATAAAATATAAAATTTTATCCAATGTTATAAAACTCAAAAAAATAAATAAAACTAATCAATAAAATCGTGTGTATATTTTAAAATAAAAAATAAACAATCACATAGACGACAAGATTTGAACAATACAATATAAAAGATCGTTGCCACGATACCTGAAAACAAAATATATATTTTTAACTAGCTGTCGCCCGCGTTGATATATAAAAAAGCTTAATTAGTATAGCCTATGTGTTCTTTCAGACTATGTTCTATAAGTATGCCAAATTTAATAGAGATCCGTTCAGCCGTTCTAGAAATATCTTTCAAACACCCATCCATCTAAACATTCGCATTTATAATATTAGTAAGTTAAATAAAAAGCAGTACTTCAAGGTATAAATTCGAAAAAAAAAACCTCACTAATTTTCAGGTATAACGGTAAAGTCGTTCTTGAGTTATAGTGTAACTAACACGACTTTCTTTTATATATATAGAAGATAGATGGCAACATTTGTGGCGCTGAGGTCGACGCCATCTTTGACCTTGAAAAAGATTTTACTGTAAAGTTTGATGGCCGTAACTAAAAAAAGACATTTCTCCTTTGTCAAGTATTTCAGCAAAGAAATTCTACATTAAATTGAAGCTATAAAGCCTGATATTAAGTGATCACCACCCACGAACATCCACAACATCAAAGACATTTCGAATCCGTCGTCTAACATATTCGTCCTGCAACTTAGTATGTCACAATCGTTGATCGAATGTATTAAAGGAACGCAGAACCCTAAATCGTACTGGAAATAAATCCAGCTTCGTAGAATGTTTTATATACGACTCTTTCCTTCCACTTGTATTAAATCTTTCATCTTTTTCACGCACTGTAATATTACATACTAGCTGTCGTCCGCGTCTTTAAGATTAAAAACAATGTAATTAGTAGCCTATGAGTTCTTTCGAGCTACGTCATTTATGCCAAATTTCAGGGTGATTTAGGCAGCTGTTTTAACGATACCTAACAAACATCCATCCATCAATCTAAATGGATGGATGGATAGATGGCTGTTTTGTTAGAAGGTATCGCTAAAACGGCTGAAATTTGGTATAGACACCTGGAAGAATCGGACGGACGGAGTCGCGGGCGATTGCTAGTTTATAATATTTCTAAGTACATATGTATATTTCAAACAATTCGCTATAGATTCTCATATATTGAATTGTCTTACTGTCTGTTTCTGAAGAAATTGTCCGCGACTACCGATTTCTCTTCGTCGCGGTATTTACTCGAAGCAAATCGACCGGGACCTGCAGCGTCTACAAAATAACAAAAAAAACTAAGCCTTCATTGGAATAAGGTGACATGATCACCGCTACCCATAAATTTAAGATTATTTAGAATATAATGTAGCGAACAGACTTTACGAGAATAGAGAGTAGTAATAAACAGAAAGTCTATGGTACTTCCCCGGTCGAATTGTCTCTGACGGTAGTGGATATCTATGGGTAGCGGTGAACACTGGTCACAGGTAAATTACCAATGATGGAACATCAATTCAAAAAAATAAACAAATACGTTACATGACTCATCACATGAAATTATTTCCACTTTACGCTTATCTTGTGTGGTCGTGGACACTGGTCTAGCCTTTCCACTCCAGCAGACGTCATATGCAAGATCTGCCACTTTTTAATATGTCTGTCATACCTTGCATACCTTCGTCTACGTCTGGAACATGATCTGCGACGACGGCGTGGTCTCCGCCGCGGCAGGCGAACCCTATATCGTCTATCACAGTAACGGCACCGCTTAAATGTTCCGCACTTCGACCGACATGCACTGACAAATCGATAAATTACTACAAATTAAATAGTAGAACAAAATAACAAGAATTATTCTATAAACACTAAGAGATTTAAGTCATTTTGAATTGGCGGCATCGGGAAAACTGTTGTACTGTCATTTGTCAATTTTTTTTAGGCAAAAGTTTTTTAATTACAGCCAACTAGTAAAATTTAACTTTACTGGTATGACCAGACATATATATACCTTACCAAAATAATTTATAAAACTTTTAATATTTCAGCCTTCTAAATCTACTTACGTTCTGGCTGTTCGCCTGTAAGAAGATATTTTATTAGGTTATTCATAGGATTAATAAATGAAATAGCAACGAAAATATTAAAATGTATGAAATCTACCTCCGCCTCCGACGACATCGCGCCATATGTTGTATCTGAAATGTATTTTTAATCTGTAATTAAATATTTTGGTACGAAATTGATTTAAAATGTTAGCAACATTTGGAACAGCATATCACATCATTTTATACTCTATTCTAGCTGGGCAGTTATTTTAAAAGCACTTATTCCTGTGATTCTGTGACACTTGAATTTTTTATGAAGTCTAAAATTTTTGAACACTGGATGGTTTTATATATAATTAAGTGTATAATTATTTAATTTAGTTGGAATAGTTAATATTGCACGATTCTTCCATACATTGTTTCATCTAGTAATCACAAATATGCGAGATAGCGTGATACGTAAATTGACATTGTACACAAGATAATGTAACAAGATTTTCCTTATTCACGGCACTTACCAGTTATAATATTGCTAATAATTATAAAACATTTGGATAGTATTGATTTGTTGTGTGGAAATTTAAAATTTACTTGTGTCAAAAAGCATTGTATTTTCACAATATGATTGATCTGAAAGAAATTTTTGACATTCCATTTATGAAATAAAAGAGAAAATTATTTACTTGTCGAAAAATATAGAAAAAGTATTTATGTAGGCGAGGTAAATTACAATTGTCTATTGATTTTGTATAAAAATACAAGTTTCATCATTAAATAAAAAAAAATAACTGTCGGTCGCGCTGTATTAAAAATGAACTTAATAATTAACCTATACATTCTACCAGACAGTGTTCTATAGTAAATTTCAGCAAGATCCATGCAGCCGTTCTGAAGATTTCCTAACATCCATCCATCCATCTAAACTTTCGCAATTACAAAATTAGTAAGATAACCTGCTTCTTTTCGAAGTTGGCTAAAAAAATCCCAAATTATTTGGGCTAAATCAATTTATATAGACAAGGTATTATTTGATTAAGTTAGCGCACTTTGAACTCTTATGTACTTTAAATCTTTTTAAAAACGATATTCCGTTTAAAAACAATATAGATAAAAATAATGTTTTTCAAATTTCTCGCCAATACTTTACCTTTTATCCATATAAAAAAATATTGGTTATAAATGAAACAATGAAATCCCTTAAAATAAATATATTTATACTACAATATCACAAATCTATACTGAATACTTTATTTTAGTTAGATTTGCTGTTTTCATGACAATAATATTAAGGTCATAAAATTTTAAGATCCTATTTTGTTCATATAAGCTTTATAAAGTCAAAAATGGATAAATAAGAATCCAAGAGACTTCATTTCGGTTATCTTCAAGTTTGACAGTATTCTTTATGGCTATGGGCAACGGTCACTTCGCTATTTCAACGATTTCAGGTGACCGCTCGCTTGCCACCTTTTGATATAAAAAAATATGAATAAAATAATATACTGATACCTTTATATGAAATGTGAAAAAAAATGGCGATAAAACAAAATTATATTCAATAAATAAGCTTTGGTAACTTCAACATACTTTATTTAATGTATATTTTCCTCTCTTTTCTTCGTTTAACATTATATCTTTCATCTCTTTCTTGTAACGAAATATCAAGGACACATTCCATTTAATGAGAATCTAGTTTTGTATAAATATAGCTATCTTTGTTCTTCTCAAAGATATAAAAAAGGACATGTGTCCATAGAGTTTTAACTTAGAACAGCAAATCTAAAGAGAGTAGACTTATTGTTTAAAATTAATCTTATATCCTTTTGACTCCGGATCCTGTTCCAATTGGAAATTCTCCGTTGACAGACCGAATGGTTTCAGTATCATGTTGCCTAGATCTTTTAATTTACCAAACATTTCCTTTTTTAATTTCTCATTCTTCTCCTCTATGAGGGGAGGAAGACGGATCATTGCTGCCTGAGCCTCTTTATGTGCTGGATCTAGTTCAAGAATCTTCTTGAAATCTGCTAAACATTCATCAAACTTCTCTGTTGCTTCATATGATTGTGCTCTTCTGGAATAGTGAAACAACACATTGTTGAAATTTTTTTGTGATAATGGAACCTACTGTAAGTGTGACTAGGTCATAGTCAATGCTGACCCAGTAACTTCACACATATCTTTAACATTACTTCACAGAAATGTATAGCATCTCGGTGTTTGCCTTCACCATAAGAACTTCAAATATATTATGGAATTCAATCTACGAAATCTAATATACATTCAAAATTATACTATATAACTGTCACTCGCGACTCCGTCCGTGGGGAATTAAAAAAAAAACATAATTAGTAGCCTATGTGTTCATCTAGACTATGTCCTACATTTATGACGTTCGGCGAGATTTATACAGCCATCCTGGAGATACCTTCTAACAAACATCTATCTAAACATTCGCATTTATAATATTACTAAGTAGATTTATTATATGAGCGTCGGTGGCTCAGGGGTTAAGCACTTGACTTGCAATCTGCAGGTCCTGGGTTTGAATCCAGCCATGTACCAATGTTTTTCGATTTACATATATACATTTATCCGACGTTCTTACGATGAAAGAAAACATCGTGACGCAACATGCACATATTTGTGAATAAATTCAAAGATATGTGTGAAGTCAACCAACCCGCATTGGGCCAGTGTGGTAGGCTTCGAGCCCCTCGGTGGGGACGTATAGTGAGCTGAGGATGAAGAAGATTTATTACACTTACCTGTAATAAGCTTTCAAATATTTATCATCCAACTCAATAGCTTTACTGCAATCTTTGATTGCTCTTTTATATTTCTCCAGTTTCATTTTTGCAGCACTTCGATTACAATATAAGATTGAGCGTTGCTGTTCAAACTGCAGCGGACAGATTCTTAAAGCTGATAAGGTAAAAGTTTTAAAGTTAAGGGTTTTAAGCATTAGCAGTGCCTTGGGACAGGTGGTGCCATTTTCATATAGGGGATGTCAGACACCCCTTTATATTCAACTTTGAACACCCTTTATTATGCATTATGCACTTCATCCCGCTTCCTCTTCACATCCTACGAAAGAATGGGAGGGGGAAGTGGCTATGATGAAGAAGGGGTCACAGAGAAAGCGGAAATATTGTCTATCTGTGCATCCCCTCTTCTGTTGATTTAAGGTAGGTAATGTAGCTATAATCACGGTTAATTAAATCTATGGGCAGTAGTAGCATCATTATTTTGACTTGAGGTGACCGTTTGCACAATTGCTAACTTATAAAAAAAACTAACCTTCAGTATATTTCTCTATGCTTTTTTCGTATTCACCGATTTTAAATGCTTCATTTCCTTCATTCTTTAATCCCTCTGCTTGAATTCTTCGTTCCTCTTTCTGGTCATCAGTTAGATCAACCTCAGCATCTTTCAGAGATTCCTCGTCTATTGAATCTGTGTCACTGTCATCTTTATCACTTTCAGCTTTGTAATCATCATTGTATGTCATGTCATCTTTGTCACAGTCATCTTCAGTATATGGAATGTCTGTAATTATAATTTAAATATTTAAAATAAGAGAAGTAGTCTATGTATTCTTCCAGGCTATGGTCTACATCTAAAATTTAAGTGAGAACTGTTAAGCCGTTATGGAGATACCTTCTAACATCCATCTATCTAAACATTCACATTTATAATTTTAGTAACTTTATACACTACACATGTAACAAATTAAAACCTACCAGGGTCAGGGTCTGTACAGACAGGGGTGGCAAATAAAATTGAGCTTTATTGGATTGAAAGAAAGTAGAATTTTGTTTTTCAAGTGTTTCTTGCAAGTATAGTCTGTTTAGTGTGAAGCAATAGGCAGAGCCTAATTGATTTCATGAGTTTTTCCGCACCCAAAGAACCTACCAGGTCTGATTGCATGCTCTTGAACACTCAAACAACCAAATCGGCTCCAATAATAGACTTTTGTACAATAGAGACTTGGACAGTCAACTATTGCCGTTGTGTCTTTAGGCAATGGTCACAACAGGTGCTCTAATGTTGTCTGTTTCACAACTTCTAAGTAAATCCTGAATAAGCTACTAGGAACTGCCCTAACACTATTTTATATTCTTAATACAAGGTAGAAGTTTACAAGACATTTTATCAAGCAAATTAGTATATAATTAGACCAGGTATATGTTTAAGTAAAATGGAAAAACACAAAAGACCACACGTAGAAAAAAGGGCGCGGTTTCTCCCCCAAGGACATCTTACCTGTTTTCTGTGTATCTCCGGCAGAATTCATAAAGTCATCTACTGTACTTTCTGGATTTATAACATTCGCTGTTGTTTCATCAGCGCTCATTAACTCCAAATCTTTAGTTAAATCTTCAATAACTTCCTCGTTGGAGATTGTGTTCGTATTCTTGAGTCTATCCGACATTTTACAAGATTTGACTATTACTCTGATTTTAGGTAATATGTTTGTTAATCAATTTTATAAAAACTTATTATCACGTTTTACAAATCAATTTCTTAAACTGTCACATAAAATTGTTATGAAAGGGGATGACAAAATGATTATGACAATGACATTATATCATTGCACCCAAAAAAAATTATATTCCGATTCGAGCAAATATCGATTTAAAAAACATACATACTTAATAAGGATGACATTTTTAAATATACTTTGATATTCTGTTATTTAAAAAAGAGATGAAAAATATAAAATCTTATCAAAACAAAATCTTCCTTATCTTATTGCATTATCGAAGAAATTAAAAAGAAAGATTTATCAAGAAAACTATAATTTTAATACGTATTATATTAACTTACGCGAAAAATCAGCAAGAACTAGATAAAAAAAGTATGCGTTACATGACAATTAGAGCCTTTGACCAAAGAGTATAATAAGTATACTATAGACATATGCCTTTGACACATCATTGATAAATTTTATTTTACGCAAAGACGATTTTTCAAAACATTTTCTTAATTGTTAATAATTTAATTATGTAACTTTCTATGTTAAAACAAAATTTCAACAAACAATTAATTGACGCACTGCAGACTAAAATAGTCTTGCAGTTTTTGTATAAAAATATTTTATTTCATTGACGTCTCTTTGTAAATGCGTAAAACGAAACTTATATCAACTGACGGTGACGGGGTCATCATCTCTGAATTTGATTAAAACGTCAGAAAGCTGATAAAATAAGATCTTATTTCTTATTCTTGTTTCGAGCGTTTGATGAATATTACAGTAATTTCGGTCGGAACCGTTATACGTGAATTATTTATGCTACAGCACTGACGTCGGTAGTCTAACTAGTTTAAAATAATAGTAAAAATGTTTCTCAAAAATTGCCTCCGAACTTTCTCTGGCAATCAAATTAGATTTTTATTAAATAAAAATAGCATAGTACCAAAATATATTAATTACAAAAGTTCTGCGTCATTATCAACAACGAAACTAGCATTGGATGATCAAAAGTAAGTATTTCATTTACTTATTGTAAAGTTTTGGTTTTGGTAGAACAGGTTTGGTAATTACTGAAATTAGTTTAAAGTTCAAGTTTACGTATTATATTTGACATTAAAAAATTTAATACACTTGCACATTACTTTTACACAATACATTTCATTTTTATAACAAGATTATTTTTTCATTTTAAAGTTTTTAACCAAAAATAAGTATAGCAACTATTTGTTCAAATATAATTAAGGTAAAAATACGCTTAATTAAAAAAAATCGTATCCGAAAAACCTCTAAATAATGATTTACTCATACAGTACCAAAAAACAAGCTTAAAAAAAATGTTTTTTGATCATATTGGACTGCATTTCTATGCTGGTAGTCTTATTAGTTAGGTTTAAATATTGCGGAGCTCTCTCCCTTAGATCACCGGTAATATCAAGAGATTGTTGAGTTTCTATGAACTTTGACTGGCTGGAGTGTTTTTAACAGTGGTAGAGCCTGCTTTAACATGAAGTGGAATTGCATAGGAAGGGAAAATATTTTCTTTCTGTGCATCCTCTCCTCCGTCAATTAAAGGTAGGCAATGCACATGCAATTGCGTATGTCTATGGGCTTCTTCGCTATTTCAGCGATTTCACGTGACCGCTTGCTCGTTTGCCACCTTATGATATATATAAAAAAAAGTGTCTGTGTCTTGTCCACAAAAAAATATATAGTAGATAAATCTATGTTATAAGTATCTGCTTCTTTGAGAAGGAAATGTATTTTCTGATAGGCAAATGAAAGAAAATACAGCATACTGTACCTATGCTATTGTAAATGTTTTTTCACACCCTTTTGATCAGCCTCTGTAATAAAATACAAAAAAAAAACCTTCAATATAATGGCACAGGCTATATTTTTATTTTGGTCTTTCTCTAACATATTTCTTTATAATATTATAAGTCTGTTGTAACAAAATTAACATAATGGTGTAATTATTATTATTATTTATTTATATCATAAGGTGGCATACGAGCGAGCGGCCACCTGAAATAGCTGAGGAGGAGAGGATGCACAGAAAGAACATACCTTCCTTTCTCATGCATCCTCTCATCCGGAAAGTCCACTTCCCATCATTTCCTTATAAAAAAAGGGTGGGAAGGGAAAGAGGACTAAATTAGGCCTCCGGGACGCACACTCACCAGACGAAACGCGGAATTGCTTCCACTTGTCGCCTGTCTTCTATGTGGTCGTGGTATTTCACCGGGTGAGCCGGGACAATTCGTGCAAAGATGTTAAAGCGCTGTTATTTTTATACTAATTCATTACATAGGTGATAAATTTTCAACCTACTTCAAAAAGAAGGTTCTTAATTCGCCAGTACTTTTTTAATTTTTCTTTGTTGATAATTCCACTCCTAATTTTTTATTCAAAAGGTGTTGCATGATATTTGGTCTTATTTATATGTTTTTCTATTTCAAGCTTACGTTATCATGACTGGTATGTTTTTAAGATTGATAAGAACTGTTATCAATTGAAATTACTATGATAAACATGATTATAATTGCTTAAGGCATTATAGAAATAGTAACAAAAATAAACTAAACATCTTACTAATATTATAATTATATTATATAAACAAGCTGTCGCCCGCGACTCCATCTGCGCGGAATTTAAAGAAGACAATGTATGTAGTCTATGTGTTCATCCAGAATGATCTTTAACTATGCCAAATTTCAGTGGGATCCGATCAGGCATTCTGGAGATACTTTCAAACAAATATCCATCAATTCATCTAAATATTAGCATTTATAATATTAGTAAGATGTGTATATATGGATGGATAGATTGATGTTTGTTAGAAGGTATCTCCAGAACGGCTGCATGGATCTTGATAAAATTTGGCATGTTTAGAACTTAATCCGGAAGGACACAAAGGCTACTAATTAAGGTTTTTTTTACTCCAGACAGTCACGGCTACAGCAAGTTGTAATCAATGGAAACATCTTGGAATGAACATATTTGAGCAACATTGAGGGGTATGAGAAGTTGGAGACGAATGGCGAAGGTGTAATGTCACGCCAAGTCTTAAGTTATCGTACACGAGTTGTACACGTGATACGTTGAAGTGCTAAAAAATATTCGTGTTATTTACAAAAAAAAGTATACATATCTTGCACGAAAATGTAATTTTTTTTTTGTGACCGAAATACATATGTTTTTATTCTAATTAATTTTATGCAAAACAAGTTTGTAGTTGAAACAACTTTATTTTGTATTTATCAATATTTTATACCGACCATTATCTATAATATAATACAAAGAAAGGTCTTTTGCTGTTAAACAAACGAAAACCTTGTTCAAATCTTATAAAGTTCATATTTGCGATAAAAAAGAGTAGAGCCCCAATCTACTTAAATGGACCTGGACTCTGTCCGCGCGGTATTAAAAAATAGATGTTGGCCGATTCTCAGACCTACTCAATATGCTCACAAAATTTCATGAGAATCGGTCAAACGTTTTGGAGCAGTATGTGAACGAAAATTGTGACACGAGAATTTTATATATAAGATTAACTACCGTTAACTTTTGTATATTGTAAAGTTAGGAAATTTTTACCATGGTTTGTCTTGAATGACAAGAATGTTGTATTGCCTAAATGTACATATTGATGACACCTTGTAGCATAAATGTACGCGTCAATTGGCTCGCGCCGGCACCCCACGGACGGCCCGCAACGGATTTTAGTTTGCTTTTTATGATATAACATAGCTCTTCGTCCATCCGGGCCGCATCGCATCAAGACAAAGCAAATCCGGTAGACAGTAGTTGTAGTAGAGCAATCATTAGCATCTTCACAGAAATTGTCCGGTTCGTCCGGTGCTATACCACTACCACACAGAAGACAGACCTCAAGTGGAAGCAATTCGAACTACACGCTGATGAGTATGTGTGCGGAAGGTTTAATTTTAGTCCTTTTTGCTTTCCCCTTTCTTATTAGGAAAGGATTGTAATTGGACGTGGATTTTCCGGATGAGGGGATTCATGGAAAGGAAATTTTTTTTAAATTAAAGATAGTCAACGCGTCTGAAATGGGCATGTTTATAGGCAGCGGCCACTTCGCTATTTCAGCGATTTCAGGTAGCCGCTCGCTCATTTGCTACCTTATGATATAAAAAATAAATTCGTTTTATCCGTGCGTGCGGGGTGCATCAGGCGCGGGCTAATGGACGATCTTAAACAACGGAACCGATTTCCACGATCGAGGTGTCATTCCATTCATATACTGAGTTGGGTTTATTGATTGATTTTTTTTTATTTACAGAGTCAAAGTTACCTTCGTATTAAACGATGGTCGGCGTTTGGAAAGCGAAGCGAAAGTAGGAGATTCACTATTAGATGTGGTTGTGAATAATGAATTAAATATAGAAGGCTTTGGCGCTTGTGAAGGCACAGTTACTTGCTCCACCTGTCATGTTATACTTAAACCTGAGGATTTTAAAAAGTAAGTGCATTTCAATCTACCTACACCTAAATTTGTCTATAGTACCTTACTAATATTATAAATGTGAAGATGGAAGGATGGATATTTGTTTAAAGGTATCTCCAGAACGGTAACATGGATCTCGTTGAAATTTGGCATGGATGTTAAACATAGTCTGGAAGATAGGCTAATAATTAAGTTTTATTTTCTATTCCGTGCGGACGGAGTCGCGGGCGACAGCTAGTATAAATGTAGAGCCCTAAAGAACAATATTTGTTAATTGCACGAACAGTTAAACCAGTGTCATATCACGATCACACAGAAGACAGGCGTTAAGTTGAAGTTATTTCGCGTTTCCACTCATTAGTCTGCGTAATTAAAGCCTTATTAAGGCTGGGAATGGATATGGGACTAAAATTAGCCCTTCGACACGCACTCAGAAATGGGGATCCAAGTTCGACTTATTTAAAAAAATAACTAGTTAACTTGTTGTAATTTCCAGACTTCCCGAGGAAGCGAGCGACGAAGAAAGGGATATGTTGGACCTGGCATTCGGTCTATCGGAGACATCACGACTAGGTTGTCAAATAATCCTGTCAAAAGAACAAGATGGCTTAGAAGTGAGGGTACCAGAGACAATTAATGACGCGCGCGGATGATGTCCGCCATTTTGTTTTGAGGGTAGTTAGGTTTATGAAATTGTAGTGAAAATCTATTTAGATTAATGTTTTATTGTATTTGCCTCAAAGATATATAAATGTTACGCCGTTAACAACTTTAGTGATTTTTTTTTAATAGAAATGAAATAGGAAACAAAGTTTTGGTGTAGATTTTGTGTCTTGTTGATTTTTTTTTAATTTTAAATGTAAGTATAAAAAAGTGTAATTTATGAAGAATACAAGAAATAAATTATTATTTTTTTTAAATAATTAAAGGTTTTTTTATTTGGCACATAATATTTTGATTATTAAGGAAATGAGGCAGCGCTGTTACAGATATAGTATGAAAAATATATTTCTATATACTATGTGAAAATATTTAGAACAAATGTTAATTTTAAGTTAATGGTTTTGTTATAAATATACAGTAATATATTTTTATCAAGTTATTTATGTTTTTTTTTCAAACTTAATCTTTAATTTATCTTATTAACATTATAAATGCGAATGTTTGGATGGATGTTTGTTAGAAGGTATCTTCAGAACGACTACGAACTACTTTGAAATCTTAAGATACTATTCATATTATGAAGAAAATCCGACGCTGTGCCGGTGTATCACAGCACTAGCCTTACTAAAATATCAATGTTTATGTCCCCTCACTATTCATTCTGACACTTGACTTTGTAACGAAAGCACGTCATTCGCGCCAAAGGATTCTAATATATATTACCTTTGGAATAAAAAAAAACAATTTTTACTACATGTTCCTCTTTAGCAGTGGTTCCCAAACTTATTTTGTCTACTGCCCACTTTGAGAATAAATATTTTTTTAGCCCCCCATATTTATAGATATTTAAAAACCACTATAACTTCAAATTGAATTAATTAAATATTATGACCTATATATGTATATTAACGGAGAATTCTAAAGGAAACTTTTACTATAACTTGAGACCTGCAGCGCCCACAAGGGGGCGTTATCGCCCACTTTGGGATTGTACTTGTACAGTTATTGAATGAGAATTTAAATTGATAAAACACAAATCAATTGCCGTAGTAATTTCTGGTTTAGATTGAGCATTAAGTAATTATGTCTGTAATTGGAAAAGCAATTTAAAATTATCAATCTTATCACTTATACGATTTACAATTCTATTGACGAAATGGCGAATGTTTTCGCGGGAATGTTATTCCTTTATTCCAGTATGTATTTTTATAAAAAGTTTTTTTTTTTATTAATATAAACATAGAAGTAAAAGTATATATTTGTCGGGTCTACTTTTATGAATCTTGTTTTTGTTCACAACTCGGTCCACGAGGAATTCCACACTTCGTTACACATATACGTCAAACCAGCTATCGCCCGTGATCGTGTTCTTCCTGATTGTGTTCTACATCTATGCCAAATTTCAACGCGTTCTAAGCAGCCATTCTGGAGATACATAGCAACAAACATCCATTTACATTTATAATATTAGTAAATAAATATGGACCCAATATCCCATTTGTTATAAAAAAAGTTAATTAATTTTTTATAAAAACTAATTATCTGTTTCATTGCAATGAATTTAAATAAAGAACATCCTCAATTAATATCCATGTTTTTTTGTCGCTAAAGGTCAAAATTATCACGAAACAGACTACATAGTTATTAGAAGTACTAAAAACAAGTATTTACATTGAACCACAGTATTATTCGACATTCCATTAAGTTTTTTTATAATTAATTTTACTTACATTACCTTAATTAGTTAATGTTAGTTACAGTTTTTGCCGAGTCCAGCCGTTTGCCGTCTGTATACAAAAGATTGAGATTGTCCAGATATCCACATCGAGTAAATTATCTTCACACACCATTAAGACTACACGAAAATAACCAATATTTTTCTTATTACGAAAACTATCCTATGAGAAAAACAATTTTGTCAGATGACAGCGGGACAAAATTAGCGCCAAAATATGACATTAAGGATTCGTTCGAAATTCTATTCGATAAAAATGGTATGCTATTTTTAACATTACCAAAAAATGACGAGGATAGAGTTTTAAATAATTTAATGAACGACGTAATTAAATATAAAGCAGGTGTTAACGAAAAAGCTTTGAGAACGAAAATAGCTAAATCTAAAGATTCCAATTTTGTTGTACGTACTAAAGATAAAATGTTAAATATAAATAACGATATTGTACCTCCTCAGAATGCATTTAATTTTCATGATATTGTTGGTTAAAACAAAATTATTAACATTTAATAAAAAAATACTAACGTGACTAAATTTAAATAATGAATTAGAATAGAGACAATATAATAAATACTTCAAACATCGTATTTTTTTAATTACAAAATATCTTTTTTTTAATAAACCAGCCAGTTAAACTTATCTATAATGTTCTTGATAACATCAAAATCTTTAAAAATGTAATAATTGCGCTATTATTGTATAAGAATTGGAATTGGCATTCATCTGAGTACAAATGATATGTCTTTTGTATAAAATAAAACATCAAATAATTTCTTAATATATTTATTTATAAATAATTTTATTGTAATAAAAAATTATTGTGGCAACACCTCTCCCATATACTTATATTGTTTAAACAAATAAATTCGTCTATTGAATGTCTTAACGATGCGATAAAAATAAAGATAATAATAATTATTTAATAAATACATTTTGTGCTATTTTTTGTCTTCAAAAGCTATTTTAATATGTTCAAATGTAGCTTTTATTTTTTTTAAAATTTTGTATTGTTTTTTTTACTTGTATATTTAGTAATGCTGAAAAATTTACACAAAAAATAATGCGATATCAATATATTCAGAAAACGACATGTTCTTAAACAAACATAATTATAATTATTTCTCTCAGATTAACAAAACCAGTCCTTATTCCATGCTTGTCAATTGTGACAGATGTCAAAAAATCTGACGTTTTCGGATGCGTTCAGTAAATTATTAATTTTAATAAATAATTTCAATTAAACGCATGGACAGTTTACCGTATAATAAAATGTACATTTTTCAACAATTTCACATATAAATAATTTAGCTAAAATAATATATTTCATTATATACTTTCATAGTACGGGTATTATACTGTTATGTAGTCAAACAGGATATCTAGGTTATAAGACAAAGTGAATTCGCTCCGAAGCGATTCCATAACGAATATCAAAAATGTATACAACTGACGCGACAGTCACATGACTTATCCAAAGTTGTGTTTACATTTTTGAAGTTCGTTATGGAGTCGCTAGAATACACTTTGTCAAGCCCCGGACCGGTTAGAGGCACTTCTGTTGTGGTTGATTCTGTCAGAAAATATATAAAACCTACTTAGACATAGAAAAAAAAACATGACAAGACAGATACAGTAGGAAAAGAATGTATTGACACTTCTTTTAAGAATGTGGGCAAACGAGTGGTTGGAACACCGAGTTGATCGACTACACCCATGGACTGCAACGCCAGAGGAATTGAAAATGCGTTGCCTTTAAGGAAATGATGTGCTCGCTTCTTGCAGACCCTAAGTCATATTAGTTTGGAATTTTTTAACACTGACTGGGGGGCGCTAGTGTAGTTGAAGTCAGATATACTTGTCGTCCTATAATTATCCTTTGTAGGTTTAATTTTCTGACACTAATAGCTCATCGGGTCAATTAAATTTGTTGGACTATGATTTATATTTGACATATATTTTGTGATGAAGTGATATAATCTTTCAACTCAACATAATATAAAAAGTTCTTGTTAAATATGGCATTTACGCCCATCCAATTAAATAACAATAAATAACAACCATATTTAATTTACAATCAAATATACAGATTATATCAACTGTCATACCATAGACTAACATGTCATTTTACCTTTTTTTTTTAAATCAAAGAATATCAAAATATAAATAAAAATAATAAAAACCTTATATCCTTTCCCGTATTTACAGTTACCTAAACTAAAAACCATACAATCCAATAGCAAATAAATGCTTAAAGTGCAATATATCAACCCTTTCAGACCAATACAATATTCCCACTAGGAACAATACAATATTCCCACAATGAACGCAATATTGCGACAAATAAATGTACTATACAGTTTTCGACTAGCACAGTACCTCTGGGGCAATACAATATTGCTCCTGGCACCAATACTATATTGGCCTTGAGTTAAATACAATATTAGTCACTTTTGGACCAATACAATATTGCTTTCGAGGTCAATACAATATGGACCCTATATTATTGCTTTAAGGCTCAATTCACCTGTCCGCTTGGCTCGTCTCCACAGAATGCCGGCTGTTCTCTTTGCGATGGTTTATATCTAAATGGAGTAAACAGCCCACAGCGCCAAAGTAACTGGAAATTACATAATAATAATATGAATAAAATCGAATTAATCTGAAATAATCAGACATATATTATAAATGCGAATGTTTAGATGGATGTTTGTTAGAAGATATCTCCAGAACATGGATGTAGAACATAGTCTGAAAGAACACAAGAGACGGAGTCGCAGACGACAACTAATAAGCTATATTTACGGCTAGATTTTAAATGTAGACAACTGTTAGTCGTTAATCTTGTCTTTAAGCGAGGGTTCTGGTCCTCTGGACCTCAATAAACAAGAAAATGATCTCGGATTTTCTCTTATTATAGTTGGACTTAAGTAAAATATCTTACCCTTCGTGTTCTAAAAATAAAGCTTTCAATGCACCACGCGACCAATAACTCATAGCGTATGACAATAACTTCATTGAGAGCGGGTTCACTCGCAGGAAGTTGCCGCAGAACACTACCTGATAGACAAATAAACTTTTATATGAGAAAAATCTTACTAATATAAATGCGAATATTATAAGAGAGTCGGTGGCTCGGAGGTTAAGTACTTGACTTGTAATCTGTAGGTTGTGGGTTCGAATCTCGCCATGTACCAGTATTTTTACAGTAAAAGAAAACAAATTGATGCAGACGCATCTGTGAAGTAATTTCAAAATTATGTATGAATTCCCGGGAGTAAAGTCACACGAAATGGTAAAAAGTGGATTGTGGAGGTTCGTTTGGCCACATCAAATGGAGATCTGCGGTCTCTGCCTACCCATCTGGGTAACAGGCGTGAGTTGTTGTGTATAAATGCTAATGTCTAGATGGATTATTACAAGGTATATCAAGATCAACTGCATTCATCATCATCAGCTCACTATACGTCCCCACCGAGGGGTTCGGAGCCTACTCTAAGTTAAGGGTGATCAGGCCATAGTCAACCACGCTGACCAAGTGCAGTGACTTCACACATATCATTGAATTTCTTCATATATGTGCAGCATCACGATGTTTTCCTTCACCGTAAGAACTGCATTGATCTCAATTAAATTTGACATAATATGAAACACAGTCTGGAAGAACATAGGCTACTAAGTTTTTTTTAATACCGCGAGGACCAAGTCGCGGCAATCAGCTAGTGTCTTTATAGTTATTTTGTTATTTTATGTTTGTTTTTCTTTATGTTAAATTATATTTTTTTTAAAGTGTCCAGAGTGTTTACGTGTTGACTTACCCTTTCAATGTTTTCATTGGAGGCACACAATCTGGCGATAGAGCCAATATTATTAGTTATTGTAACTAAAGTTGCTCGAGCTAAATCTTCACGGGATACCTTCGCACGGCGTTCCGCAGCGCACATCTGACCGAAACTGTTATAAAAAGATATAAAATTCAAAGTTATTTGAAATTAAACATTTCAACATGCCTTTAGGTCTAAGAAACGCGATCCAGACATTCCAAGAAATAAAAAGTTTGATAAAGAATTTTGTCAAATTATTCATCTTACTAATATTATAAGTGTACTATGTAAGGATGGATTGATGGATGTTTATTAGAAGGTATCTCCAGAACGGCTCAAAAGATCTCGACGTTATTTGGCATAGATGAAACCCATAGTTTGGAAGAACACAGAGTCGCGGGCGACAGCTAATATAGTATACGGCTTTGATACTTTTGTCCGTATTTGAGATATATTTGAAAAAAATCTTGAGCAACATGTTTTATTGTTTAATAACGTTTTTTTTAAAGAGAATTTAAGTAACTAATTCATGACACACGTACAAATGACTTACCTACTAGCAACCAAATCCCCTGGTAATCCAAACCTGGCGTAATCTCCACCATAAATATCTCTGACAAGCTTATCAACAGTGGTGTTATCACCAGCTGCTGCTAATGCTATGGCTTCCTCGAAGCTGCTGCAGCCGGTCAGCAAACAACAGAGACCAAGGAATGTTCCACCCCCAAGGCTACGAGGCAAACGTCTGGGTTACATATTTATGTAGTAAACAACCTATAATAAAGCCTTTCTATTTCCATATCGTACTAATATTATAAATACGAATGTATGGATGGATGGATGTTAGAAGGTATCTCCAGAAAAGCTCAACAGATCTTGATGTAATTTGACATATATATAGAACATAGTTTGGAAGAACACAAAGACTACTAGTTAGCTTTTTTTTAATTCTGGGCGGACCGTGTCGCAGGAGATAACTAGTGTTATACGTATTTGTGTTTTTAATAGCTGAATGACCCAAAGTGTTAATTTTGTATGAAAAATCAATTACTTCTTTTATCTATGACAAATTAAACCAGTTCAAACTAAAGTCCAGTAAGGTACAAACTGACCTTGTACCGCTGACCCTGAAGTAATCATTGGGTCCGTTGACCACCAGCATGGAGACACCACTTCCGATATTAACCAACAAGAAGGGATAGGGCGAGGAAAAGTCAAAAGGTTTACGAACGTAAACGCTTAAGGCTTCTGCCGAGTATGGTGGCTGGAATAAAAACAAATTTCTACTTTTATTTACGTATTTCATATTAAATTTCCAAGCAATTTCATCATATTGAGGGTTGTATAAAAATTATTTTGATTTATTCCCTTTTGGTACTGACTTAAGTTACTCAATTTGAAAGTTTAGATGGATGGATGGATGTTAGTTTGAAGGTATGTCAGAAACGGCTCAACGGATCTTGATGAAGTTTGGCATACATATAGAACATAGTCTGGAAGAACACATAGGCTACTCATTAAGTTTTTTTTAAATTCCGCGCGAGCGGAGTCAAGGCTAGTCCCTTATAAGTGAATGAGGAAGGTGGTGACAATGATATTCATTTGACTTATATATGACGTGGAGTCTGAAACCCTGGTCTTACCGTATCGCTGGGCTGCTGATGCACTGGGCGTTCGTTTGGAGGTGCCCAGTAATAACATTCCTGCGCATTCATACTGTCCACAAACAACACGCCAGCTATCAACGCGTCCAGTTCATCTAGTTTTGATAGACGCATGTTCACTTCCTGAGAAAGAGAAACATACTGTATCACCCCTAAAGTATAGTAGGATACTGTTTAACCACGTGTTTTAACCCTTTGAGCGCCGGTGGATATTATGGACGTCAAAAGAAATGATTCACCATAATATGAATTACCATGTTACTTTCGTTATAAGTATTTCAAGAAGCCATTTTGCAAGCCTAATAATGATTGTCATAGGCGTTATTTGTCAAAAAATCCACTATTATAGTCATGATATAAAAATGTTAACGTTTGTTTAAGCTAAAATATATTTGACATTTTGACAAATTTTTTAGGGTTCCGTACCTCGAGAGGAAAAAACGGAGCCCTTATAGGACCACTTTGTTGTCCGTCCTTCTGTCTGTCAAGACCCCATCGGAAGGCCCTTATGACTTAGTGTAATTTATTAAATACAAGCATTTTATTATCACACTGAAGAGAGCAGATGTTAAATCGCATACAAAATTGGGCTTTACACAATTGAAATAAGGTTTAATTTAACTTTCCACCTATCTTTTAAAACATTTAAAGTTTAACCATATTCCGTTGACTTAGAATTGCTTAATACCTTTTTAAAATCCTCTTCAAACTTATACGCGCCTCCACCGGTCGCGTATATTGTGTTGACCAGATCCGCCATCCCTTTAGACCTGGCGAGCTGAAGAAACGCGCCTACTTCACTAGTAGGGAACCTAATAAAATGAAGTGTACCACGACGACCTCGTATTGTCACGTTTTCCATCTAAAAATGATTAAGTTTTTATCTTACTAATATTATAAATGCGAATGTTTAGATGGAAGTTTGTTTGTAGGTATCTCCAAAACGGCTATATGGACCATGATGAAATTTAGCATAGATGTAGAACATAGTCTGGAAAAACACATAGGCTACTTATTATGTTTTTTTAATTCTGGGCGCACAGAGATGGATATAATGACAAAAGAGTAAGCCATATGAATTCGCTGAAATCGTGAAGCCCATAGGTGTCCGCAATTGCAGATGCGTTGCCTACCTTTAATAAACGGTGGGGACGCACAGAAAGAGAAAATTTAAGGAATTAAGCACTTGAGATCTGCAGGTCCTGGGTTCGAATCCCGAACAACAAAGTGTTTTCGTGAATATTGCTGCGATATAACATACTTGTAAATGAACATCACGTCTTCCAGTCTTGCCGTACGCTGAATTCCTGGTCAGATATCGTCTAATATTCTTCAACACTTCGGTTTCTTTATCCAGTTCCCGTCTATTATTTTCTCTCGGTTCGAAATATACCAATTTGGTGAGTGTACCGCCTATATCCATGCCAAACCATGGCATCGCTAGAAATCGTATTTAAATTAGGTACAGTACTGTTTTGGGGTAGTCCCAAAAAAACTATGTCTCTTGCCATCACTGCGAAACCGACATTCTCATTTACTTATGTTCTGTTAAGAAGAAAATTCGACAATGTGCCGGTGTATCGCAACACTAGCCTTACTAAAATATCAACGTTTATGTCCCCTCACTAATCATTCTGACAATTGACTTTGTCATGAAAACGCGCCAATCGCGCCAAATTCTTCTAATTAATAATATCTAAAAGTTCGGTCTGATTTTGTACTGTTAAAATTGTTTAGAAATAGCATTCAGTTAAAGAAAAAAATAATCAATATAATTGTCTCTATAACATTCAGGAGAAGAATACGAATGACACTCCACTCGTCTAACCGTTGTCATTTATAAACCTGGTCAAATCATAAACAGACAAAAGAAGATCAAATGAATTTAACTAACTTACGAAGTAACACTTATTTAGCAATCTGAGGGGTTAGACAAAGTGCATTCGCTTCGAAGCGATTCCATAGCGAACTTCATATTATCACTTATCCAAAGTCGTCAGTTCTATACGTTTTTGAAGTTTGTTACTGAATCGCTTAGTAGCGAATGCAGTTTGTCTAACCACCCGGGGCAAGTTACGTGGTACTAAGCGTTCCATGTCATTCTAGATTTAACACTTACGTGGCGCATTATTATCTGGAGGTGTTGGAGGCGTTGGGGGCACGGAATCCGCCATCGCGGGGTTCAGCTTCACACCCACCTTGTGCGGAGACCTCCGACCGCGTTTCACCTGGCACCTGGAAACAAGATTCAAATACAGATAGAAATACAACAGTAGGAAAAGAACAGTGTCTACGAAAATAAAGGGATCAGGGCAATCTTACCCATAACATTAATTTAGCTGTGAAAATTAAATTAAGTCTGGAGCCTCTAAATCAATGGTTCCCAAACTTATTTTGTCTACTGCTCACTTTGAGAATAAATATTTTTTTAGCGCCCACATATTTTCACATATTTAAAAACCACTATAACTTCAAATTAAATTAATTAATTATTGTAACCTATATATGTATATTAACGGAGAATTCTAAACGAAACTTTTACTATAACCCGCAACTTGAGACCTGCAGCGACCACAAGGGGGCGTTATCGCACACTTTGGGAAAGACTGCTCTAAATCAACATCCAATGATTAGTTGACAGAGCCCTGGAGAGATTTTAAAGTTTATTGGTGTCCTTATCTAAGAGGCTTACGACGAGAAGAGGCTTGGATAATGATGTACCTTTAGACATTATTAGTCAGAATCCTTTTGCGCGAATGACGTCCTTTCGTTACAAAGTCCAGTGTCAGAATGATTAGTGATGGGACATAAACGTCGACATTTTAGTAAGTCTAGTGTTGTGTCGATATACTGCCACGGTTACGGATTATCTTCTAAACAGTACATACTTGACAAGCTCTTTCGGTAGTTCGTAAGGCGGCGTTGCGCGGCGCGGAGGCCGGCAGGCCGCGAGGCAGCCCTCACAGCGATGCAGGCGCATCTGTAACAAACACTATACTATTAAATACAGAATAAAACAATATAAATGTAAATCTGTGCCACTCATCAGAAAAATAAGAATCGATTAACACCTCACTCGTTAATATCGGTCAAGACGCATCGGAGATTATTCGTAACAAACGCGACCTCGCGTACATACACATCTTATATATAAAAGAAAGTCGTGTTAGTTACACTATTTATAACTCAAGAACGGCTTTACCGATATGCCTGAAAATTGTTGAGGAGGTAGCTTAGAGCCAGGAGACGGACATAGGATACTATTTATTCATTTTTCTTTCGAATTTATGCCTTAAAGAGTTGCTTTTCATTTAACTTACTAATGTTATAAATGCGAATTTTTAGATGGATTAAATGTGGATGGATGGATGGTTGGGCTGGCTACACTAATTAAGTTTTTTTAAAATATCCACGCGGACGGAGTCGCAGGCGACAGCTACTTTATATTAGTTTACGGTTACCTTTTGAATTCCACGTTGACGTAAGCTACGTATAAGTTAAATGTATAATAAAATAGCAACTTAACTACGGTAACGGTAAAAATTAAATCAGTTCATTATCGTCTTGACCCAATGGCCTGAAATACGTCAAACTATTACAAAGTAAAAGTGGTCTAACAACAAAAAGGGCTTGTGACCGGTTTTGAAGAATTTATCAATAATTATGATATCAAAAACTCGTTATTTTATAATTTAATTAAAGGTGAAAGCGTTTTTTGTTTAAATTATATAATATCCCTTATTCAAAAATAACTACTACGAGTTGTCGTCCATGATTAAGTCCACAAACCAAAAAAAAACTTAATAAGTAACTTATAAACCTCAAAAGGCAAAAAACGGAACACTTATAGGATCACCTTGTCCGTCCGTCCGTCTGTTTTTTGATTCTATGAAAAAGGATAAAAAATCCTCTGCTACTAAGGCTGGCGTTATGGGCGCGGTCATTAGTCAGAAACCTAAAACCGTTACTAATTTAACGTTTCCGAGACAACAATCTCTATATAAAACATATCGTCATCCCTGTCATTATCTTTGATAAAACAGAGATAACAATATGATTCAAACGGGAATTTAATCTCGGAAGCTTACGGTAAGAATTTATTTGAAATGGAATATACAACATTAGGAAAAGAGATGGACATTGTACCAATTCACAATCATTTTACTTATCAGAGCCAAGCCTACAGTTTGGGTCCAGTTAGATAAAATTGATAACCTTATCATGTGGCTTAAATGTTTTTAAAAATGTGTATTATTTTATCACTACAAATTATTGTAACGTAAAAAAACATTTTTAAATAAATACTTTAATACAGCACATCTCTATTAAAAGTACATATAGGTAAGAGAAACGCAGTTTATTATCGATATATCGACAATAAAGCTGTCGCCCGCGACTCCGTCCGCGCGGAATTAAAAAAACTCAGCAGCCTATGTGTTCTTGAAGACTATGTTCTATATGTATGACAAATTTTATCGACATAAGTTAAGCTTTTCTCGTGATACCTTCAAACAAACATCCATCCATCCGTCTAAACATTCCAATTTACAATATTACTAGCTGTCGCCCGTGTCACCGTACGCGCGGTATTGAAAAAAATAAACAAAATTAGTTGCTAACGTGTTCTTCCAGACTGTATTCTATATGTATACCAAATTTCATCAAGATCTGTTCAGCCGTTCTTGAGATACCTTCAAACAAACATGCATCCATCTAAACATTCGCATTTATAATATTAGTAAGAAGTAAGATGTAAGCTCCATCATTATTAAACGTCCTTGAACCCATAACGATGCAGGGATGCTCAAACGACAGCTGCGATACAAAGTTGGAGTACCACCTGTCATGCACCCCCCCTTTACCCCCTTCATACCTTATGCATACAATAATCAAACGCGTGTAAATTTATCTGACCAATTGGCAAGTGAAAAAAAAATTAAAAAATCTATTAACGTTACCGAATGAATGTCAAAAAAATCCATTAGAACTTATGCGAATTGTAACTTTCTTTTTTTTATATCAAAAGGTGGCAAACGAGCGAGCGGCCACCTGAAATCGCTGAAATAGCGAAGTGACCGTTGCCCAGACATACGCAATTGCATATGCGTTGCCTACCTTTAATCGACGGAGGAGAGGATGCACAGAAAAAAAATATTTTCCCTTTCCATGCATCCTCTCATCCGGAAAGTCCACTTCCACTTCCCATCCTTATAAGAAAAAGGGTGGGAAGCGTAAGAGGACTAATTTTGGCCTCCGGGACGCACACTCATCAGACGAAACGCGGAATTACTTCCACTTGACGCCTGTCTTCTGTGTGTTCGTGGTATTTCACCGGGCGAGGCGGGCCGATTCGTGCGAAGATGTTAAAGCGGGCTCTACCACTGTTCTCTATGTAGGTTTAAAATATACTCTGTCAAAAATAACCGCCATAACAGCGCCGCGTAACATATAAATTTCTTGCATAATAAATTGAATAGCAACAATACCACTTTCCATAAATATTACATGAACATTAGCGACAAAAAAAAACTTTGCGTTAATCCAAACCTTCAAATCATTCAAATATGCGAAACTATCTGTTGCCTGCATCTCCGTCCGCGCAATAAAAAAAAACTCAGTAGCCTATGTGTTCTTCCAGACTATGTTCTATATATATGCCAAACTTCATCTAGATCCGTTGAACCGTTCTAGAGATACCTTTAAACAAACATCCATACATTCGCATTTATATTAGTAAGAAGTAAGATTACGTGTTAATTGAATACAAAAAATTGACTAATTAGAGTCGTGACATCCGGATACATCATCAAAATTATAATTATCTAAAGTAAATAACAACATTATGTACAATAAGATTAGCTCACGTTTATTATATAAACAGAAAAAAACAACAATATTTCTATTTAGGAAGTATCGATAAAAAAGATTACCACAAGGACATCACTAAACATTATTTTTCCTCAATTAAAGCCTTTGTTTTAAATAAAAAAAAAACACTAAACAAGTAAATACTTATTAAATAAATGCGAATATTTGGAAGGATGTTTGTTAGAAGGTATCTCCGCAACCGCTCAACGGATCTCGATGAAATTTGTCATACATATAGAACATAGTCTGGAAGAACACATAGCCTACTTATTATACTCAGAAACTACTCTATTAAACTATAGTTGTTGTCCGCGACTCCGTCCACGCGTAATTAAAAGATATAATTAGCATGTGTTCAAGACTATGTTCTACATTTATGCCCAATTTCAATATCCATACATACAAACATTCCCATTTTTAATATTAGTAATATTACAGTTATAATTCATATACATTTATTTATCATATTTTTAATATAGTACATTTCATATCAAAAAAAAATACAAAACATATTATATTTAAAATAGAACACCACCGGCTGCGGAGTCCCATGACTCAAACAACCAGTGGTCAGGGCTACAGACAGGAACCTTCTCACGATGCGTGCGGTTTCTAGGATAACTGCCTTTTGTATCGGGCCCTTAATCCAACTGTTTAGCGAGAGCTTCTTGAGATGTTGGTCGCGGAGAACTAACCACAACAACGCCTTTTACCGTCTAAAATAAGCTTGTCGCATTCCATTCGTATAATCAAAATTAGCAATGGAATAGCTGGGGCTACAAGCAATGGACTGATAGAAGGCACAAGACAGACATTGACGATATCTTGTGCCGGAAGCCAAAACCCACTTTGGGTCATTATAACAAATCTTTAATTGAAATGCTAATACATTTGTTACTTTATTTAAACTAGTCTTTGTTAAGTACAATAGCAAGATTGTTCAAACGAATTCAAAATAATATTTATTGTATTCATTCAAAGGTTAAATGTCATCGTACTTAGTTGAACGCGTTATTTGACGTTCACTGTAACGTAGCGACGTCAGTTCACGACCGAGGGGAACGGGGAGTACCTTAGTGACTAGGCCATAGTCAATGCTGGCCTAGTGCGGGTTGATTCTCACTGGTAAATCATTATTACCAAGCTTTGAATACAGAGAAATGGACTAAGTAAATGTTGTTATCTTTTGGAATGCGTCATCATCAGCTCACTATGCGTCCGCAATGACTTTGCCTAATAGTTAGGTGACTAGATCGTAGTCAATGCTGGCATATTGCGGGTTGACTTCACACTTATCTTTGACGTTCCTTCGTAGCTATGTTCAGCATCACGACGTTTGTGCATGACGGAATTCGAACACAAGACCTGCAGATTACAAGTCAAATGCTTACAGCCAGAGCCACCAAAGCACTTGGTTGATTTTTAGATTTGAATCATGTATCTGGGTCAACCAAACTGCAATGGGAAAGCATTGACCGTCCTTCTGTGGGGGACGTATAATGATTTGATGATTACCTATCAATAGAGGTGGGGGCAAGCGCAAGAAGAGCTAGAGTGTACCACGATCGCGCGTGTCTTTACGTCCTGTTACCTTATGCACAACGTCTCGAGTAAAACTCCGAGCCTTCATGAAGTTTGAATACTCTACTAGATACCTTAAAATAAAAGTAAATGTAAAAAGTGTTTACTTCAAGTTATTTACATAAAAATACTTACCTGGGTAATAAATTTGAAGTACAAAAACGAACGTGAAATATTTTTATTATTCGACAATATCTTTTAATATTAAACTCACGTTTTAGTACTGAATTATATGTTTCTTTTTTACTCAAAGTTTTTCACAGGTTTTATGACCATTTTAATGTGACCCCTGAAGCTTTAACAGACTGCCGAAACAACTACTTGACAGATTTCCATGTCTGCTATATTAGTTTTCACATATCTTAGCGGCTCTATCTTCGTGCGAGTCGCTGCGCAGAACAATTTTAGGTATAGGTGTGCGTAGCGGGATGCGGGGGGAGGGGAATACACAGCTCGCAAATGACCTTGGGCTACTATTATAATACATTGGTATTATTTCTAAAAGCATAGGACATGTCTTTTTCAAATATC